ATTGTTTTTGTAAAAAGCAACAAAGCTCCTGGATCCAAAAGCTCCTCGTCCCCTGCTGAAAGAAGAGCACCGCTTCTCCTCTGCATGTTTGTTCCAGTCAGCAGGTTCACATGGACACCGTCCAACTTCCCTGCAGGGGGGGGAACAGTAGCTCCGTGCAGCAGTCTGTTACCATTTCCCCTACAATCCAGCAATTAACTTCACCCGGTGACACAACAAACGATTTTTCTCAATATAATCTAATTAGGAAGTGATTTTTATTTAGTTAAAAAAGACCCCTGAAGGGATTCAAATGATATGTAATTGAAGTTTAATGGGTCTCGGTGAAAATAAAGAGCAGCAGTGAATATTGATATTTTAATAAGACAATAGCCGTCTGTATTGGTTTAAAAGTGTTGCTGCAGTTTAACACACCAAAAGCTAAACAAAAAAAGGAAAAAGGCTTCCGCAAGCAGCAGTGTGAACTGCTGAGTGGGAGCAGAAGCACACGAGCTTATTCAAACTCAGTGTCACAGTTCAGACGAGCTCAATGCAAAAACAGATGGTGCACTCAGGAGAAGAGGCGACGCGGGGAGACACGGATAAGCCACTGCGGCAGCCTTGCACCCACATTCTTTTTTTAGAGCCGACTTTAATTACACTGAGAGAGTCAGCTGAGCTCCATTCTGTTTGTCGGCACCGCCTCGCTCCACCTTCATCCACCTGCAGACATTCACGCTAGTAGATGCCAAAGAACCACCGTGGACTTCTACCGCCAGCCACGGAGCCGCCTAACTGGAGCACGTTGTGATCAAGAGCCTTCAGAGGGAGGGGTTCCTTCCCAAGAGGTTAATATTGTGTTGTTGAATAAAATTGAATGGTATAACTATAAGTAATAAATAAATGGTGGAGATATTTAACTAAAAGTAACAGATAAAGGGTTTAAATGTCCAATTCCTGCCAGAACAGTGACACAATTGGTCTTCATTTTATATTAAATCAAGAAATCTATTCAAATGATGACATTTTGAAAATGTGGGGATGGTGATGTTCAGCTGATCTGATGTTGGGGACCTACTGCTCTAGAGTGCTTATTTCTGCCCAGCATGAACTACTAGTTAACCCAGGACCACCGTAACCTCAACTGTAGCCATTATGCTTCAAGTTTCAAAGGCCTTTCTTCACATTCCCACCACCTTCTGCCTGGCAGCAGCCCTCTTACATGCACTGAACTCAATTTACATCCCACTGACCCATTTCCCTGGCAATGAGCTCGGGGGAAAGTATCTGACAAATGCATGTCTGGGTGTGCCGGGAGGATTGTGGCTTCAAGGAACCCAAAAAGATCACAGCTCTGAGGGAAGCCAAATCCGATGCAGATGTCTAACTGCTGTCTGCGACGAGCTCAAAGAGACCGACAGAAGAGGAAGTGCAAGGTTCTTTGCCCGTTTGTTTTTCTATAATATACTAAAGTCAAAAGTATGGGCTAAGCACTACTTAAGACTTAAGACTCAGCACGCATACTGATAACCGGGACAATAACTTGCAGAGGAAAAAGAACGCTTCAAAGAGAATCTATTAGCGGATGAAGCGGTAACGACTTTGGGACGCGAGTCCATTAAAAGACATTTTCTTTAAAGAGGCAAAGAGAGAATGCTCATGGGTCTACGAGTCCAGTTCAGCTCTTATCAGCGCCACCGTGGATAAACAAGAGCGCTGAGCCACTGGGACATTCCTGCCAGCATTACCAACCCTCCCTAACTATCCTAAACTGACACCATTTTCTGTGCCGGCTTGATCCCGGCGGACCTTGTTAGCTCTATTTAAGGGCAAAATGAGCCAAGTGCTACGTCCTGCTTGGGCTCCGGGAGCTGGCTGCGCGCTTTTATTCGGCCGTCAATGTAAAAAAGATATCACACTAATTACTGAAGAGACACAGGTTTGGGTTTGTACATTTGCTCGCACATGGAGCCGGTTTGTCTTGGCAGTCGTAGAAAGATATTTCCATAAATATGCTACGACTGCTGCATTTAAACATGAGCGGCATTTAAACATTTCTATGGTGTGTCCCTAAATATCACTTGTATAAGGTGGTCAAGGGGTTACTCTTGCATTTGGCAATATCTTATTCAAAGCTCCATGGAGATGATGCCTCCCTCGCAAAACAAAAAGCAAGCTATAAAAGTGGTAAAAATACGCGTTCTGTCCGTCATCATTGTGACAGTTGCTCAAGGTCAGTGGTGTCATGGAGTCAGCAAACTGCAGTCAGTAGCATAAGACCTGAAAGCTTGCTAGCATTAGCCGCCACACGCTACTGGGCCTACCAGACCAAGCAGGCGTTCAGTCGTTGTGTTTTTGTTACTCACATGCATCACATCTAAGAGAAATATGAAGTCATCAACTCTTTCGAAAGTTACATAATACAGCAGGGGGACCTATGAAAAAAAACAAGGAGTGCTTCTCATACAGGCAGCGACGCGAGTCGGCTACGGGTGCAAAACATTTTGATGAATCTTTGCAGAGGACCAATTTCCTGGATCCTATTGAGCTCAGCAGCGTCTGGCAAAATTGTTGTACTGCCTAAGCTATAAGCAGTCTTATTAATCACGTAATATTGGTACGAGTATTTATAATTTAAAAAAAACTGCGGTTAAAAAGGAATTATGCAAATCAATTTAATGAAAAAAATCATTTCCAACTGTGTGTAAAAGCCTATTTGGTCTGAAATTGTTCAGTAGACCTGGTCCACCTATAACTGTGATGCACAATGGACCTTAAGCTGAAGGATAAATCATACTGTCACTGCAATCACAATATCAACATTTGCGATAAGCTCATCGCATAAGAATATAATTAACCCTCCGCTACCAAACAACTTATCGACATCTCATTTTTCTTCATATAGCGTGCAGCGTGAGCCAGCGTGGGCGGTGACGGTGAGCACGCTTGTTCCTGAGCGTGCAGAACCAGGATGGTTAACAAGTCCATATGCAAGAGTTCAAAGTGTGAGTTCTATACAGCTCTTAATATCCACTCCAGGAAGCGAAAAAAGCGGTTGAGAATCTAAAAAAGATTTAAGGAAGTGAACTCGTAGCTGCTCTTTGCTTTGAGCGGTGGAGATTTATTTATTTTGCCAATAAGATCAGCACAAATGTCCTCTGGTTGGAGGCTTCTGGGCTTTAGTCACCATTCGTTTGAAGGATGCAGAACCCAACCAGATGCTTCTTTCCTAAACGTGTTTGTTTTCACAAAGCAGGTGTTTGAACTGAGGGATCAGGGCCGAAACTCAGCCACTCTAATAAGTGGATGGTCACTTTTGATTGAGTGAGCCTGTGAACATTTTAGAACCACAGCGGCTGAATCACGGGAAGGTTTTTGTAAAACAGCAGATGAGGCCACAGAAAAACTATGATTATTGCCATGAACAGAAACCACAGGGAAAACTGCCTGCATATTAATTGAAAAAGTATCTCTTCGTACGTGTCTTGTGAGATCAAATCATGAAAGTTAACGAGTCTTTCCGCAGTCTTGATCTGCTGAGGCCCGATGCTACGGCCTCGTGTGCAGAAGCAGGTGGGGAGAGACTAAAGTACCGTTTGCAAGACTACTTCTACTCGGGTACTTAAAGGGATTTATGATAATGGCGTTTTTATTATTCCTTTTAGCCTCGTCTGTAAAGAAACAGCAGAAAGACGTTTGGGTGCATCAGAGCGCTGTGTCGGGGTTTCCTTTCACACAGTTTTGTCAGTGCAGTGTGACAACTGAAGAATTAGAAAAGGAAGTTGCTAATCCAGCATTCCTACTCAAGAGCATCCGCCAAGACGAACAACATACGGGAAGTTGCAATGTCACATTAGATGTAAAAATAAAACACCCGCTAATGACGGTCACATTTTTCCACTGCATACCAATGGCTACTACACCTATTATTACTATACTACTACTACTACTACCACTATAGAATCTATGCTAACAGATAATGCTCAGCATGCTAACATGTGCACTACCCACATGCTGCTATTTAGCTAGCATAATGTTCCCCATCTTAGCTGAGCGCGTTTGCATGCTAACGTTCGCTAATTAGCACTAAACCCAGCGGAGCCTGACACCAATGTCATGACTTCTGCAGGAGTTGATTTGGTCATAAACCGAAGCACTGGAAGAATTGAGGTGATGATGGCACATTATGTAAAAGTGAGGAGATTTCACCTGCGGGGAACTTGGAGGACTTCACCAGATTCAATGGGAATCCGTCCAATAGCTGTTCTATAATAATTGTAGTATGAGAAGCGCATTTAAGACGAAATGATTGTATTTAGGTTTGTAACTTGCCAGATGGGCTTTAACTACAGTGTGGTCCTTAAGTAGGGTGGTGGCTTCCTGAACACTGTGTGAGCCTTCAAGGCACTGGGAAGTGTGTGTGTGTGTGTGTGTGTGTGTGTGTGTGCGCGCGTGCATTAAGGCAGGGTCATCGAAGAGTAATAGGATTGCTCAGCCCGGCTCCCTCTCTCGACACCCTGGCAAAGACAGGCCTCCTAAATCATCCTCACATCTCTGAGCAAGACAGAGGACCTTGCATGTCCTCTCCCCGCCCTCCATCCCGCACCGCAGCCATAAGCGACCCCCACCCCACCACCCCAATCTCCACCCAATCTCCACCCCACCCCAACCGATACCCGCTCACGGCCGTGATTTCCCTCAAAACTCCAGCAGCACTGGAATAATATCTACTCGGCATTGTGTGACTATCCACGGGGAGGATGTAGTGGAGATCATTGCGCCGGTGCCACGGTTACTGTGTGAGGCGAGGCGGAGTACTCGGCTGATATTATACATGATGGGTGATCTGAACGCTTTTGTTCCTATTCCTAAGGTCCGGGGTTTAACGCTTCTGCTGTCGGTACTTAAGCAGTTAAGGAGGGAGATCTGTGGGTGGAGAATAACAGGGCTGAAAACCTTGTGTCTGTTACTCTGACACACACACACACACACACACACACACACACACACACACACGCCCTTCAGCTCAGTGCAGCGTGAGACACTCATCGTGGCCGAGAGAAGGGAAAGATCCAAAGCGCGGCTACATTTTACTCTCGCTGTCACAGATGCAATAAAAGCCCCACGAGGAGGGAAGGAAACAGCAGCAGCGCATCACAACATGTCAGGAGCTTTCCCTCCGTTTGGCAACAGACGTTGGCGAGTTTGCCATTAAGAGTGGACTCCTCAACGGAAGCTAAGCTAATTCTTTAGCTGTCTCTGCATGTTGATTCATTTTCAATGAATGGGGGGGGTCTTGCAAAATGCTGAAAACAAAGCGGTGAGAAGATCGATAAGGCACCAAACGGAAAAGCAGTATGTGTAATAGTAGCGATTAAAAACCCTTATGGCCATTCAACGGATGAAATACCTAGTGGACGTGTTTTGATGGAGTGCATATTTTGAACGCCTGGTTTCGGCCTCGTGGTTAACACTTGAGATTTATGGTCTTGTCACACGTCATCATGACCAGAATAGATCTCTCTCCACTGATTGAGCTTGACTGACTGCTGAGCACAGCAGGCAGAAACTGCACACCTGATTACATCAAACTGGGCACAGAAATCGCCACAGGAAGTATGTCCGCTGAAAGGACCTGTCAATTTATCAATATTGACGTCCTTCCGCCAGAAACCAGTGTGTTCACTAGACCGTAGTCCAGTGTCTTGGCACCGTTGCCACGCTACAGTTTCTGTAGATTACCTGATGCACACGCCATTTATAAATGGTGGACTGGTCACCAACCAGCTGGTAGAAACAAAGGGGGCAGTTACTATGAAGGTGAAGCAGCAGAAATCAACAGGAAGCAGTAAAATCGTAACTTTTACTCCCAATCCCAATACACATTTCCTACATGCAAAGGACAGTCATATCTAACATCTTGCTGCAGAAGCATGCATCATAGTTAATCAACCTTAATCACCTGATATCAGGGTATCAGATACCTATATAAAGTAAGATACAATAAGGCTGGCTTATGATAAGGGTTTGCAAACAGCCAGTTTGAGAATTCCTACCATGCCTCTAACAAGTCTACTCCAACCTTGCTGTGCTTCACTTTATTAGCATCAGTCCGTGCCGGAGTACTGCGGTGTTGTGATAATGTTTGCCAAAGGCTTTGGCCTGCAACTGCATCAAGACAAAGATATATTCACTCAGTGTTTCGGGAAAAGGAAATATTTCATGTGGGCTGTGTATCCTTAATCTACTGTCACTCAGTAACATATGCTAATGCCTGCAGGAATCTCAAAAGGTCAAAATTAATACAATATCAAATTATTATAGTATTGCATAGTAACAGTTATAGCATTATTTTATTTTTAGAATTAGTCACATAACTGGTTGGCACCCAAAGTAACAGAACGCATTACTTTCAAAACTGCTAATGAGTCATTTCCTTTTTTTAGAGCCAGAGATGTGCATGTGAAGTGAAGAGAGAGGCCCTGAGGTCACATGCACGCTGCCGTGTACCCTGTGCAGCGTAGACTCTTGATATTTCACAGGTGGAATAATAATTATTACGTGGAAGTTTGCACATAGAAATACTTAAACATGCAAATGTATGCCGTATAGCCACAATGTTTTTTTTTTATTGTTTATTCTAATTTCTGTCTTCGTGCAACTCTTGCAGCTGCATTCATGAGATCATACAAAGACGGTGAAGAGAATCGAGAATCATCTGAAGCAAGGCCAAGGAGAAAGGGAGGTTACAGCTCACTTGGCATTTCATGTTCATTGTTTTTCATTATCTATCTTTTTTTTTGCCGAAAAACTTAAGTTTCGTTAAGAATTTTCCTTCAAAGATTGAGAATTCCCACTGTTGGGTTCACCTGCATTCCAGATAACATTTGCATGACTGCACCATTAATAATTGTGTGCAATAGAGACATAGTGAAGCTGTCGAAACTCGCAGTACTTAACCCTTGTGCATCGTTAATCTTGCACATGTGATATTTGACAACTCATAATTTATGCTGCTAAATCCACAACAATTATGTTATCAATGCAGTGTGTTTGTGCACAATTATGTTACCCCTGAAACTGATTTTCTCGGTATAATATTCACAAATGAAAAGCACACACATTGTAGGCTGTGTCTTTTAAGCTACTATTATTTAACCATATATCAGATGCAGATACATTTAATGGTTGAGGTTTGTGTTTAAATTCTTTGACATGTATGAGAAATGCATTCAGTTTACAAGCCAACAGGTTAACATTTTTTCAATAAATCAGAATAACAGGGCGGGAGAAAAGGCTTTAGTTGACAACTGACGGATCACTCACTTTTATTTAGTTACCCTAAATGTCACATGCCGTAAAATGAAAAAAATAAATAAAATAAAACCATCAAATAATATATTAGCAGACATTAGGCCCACAAAAAAGCAATACATTAGGATTTAATAATTAGGACCTTTTGTATGAAGCAGCAGGAATCAATATACTCTTGAGGTATATTAACAACAACACTAACAATGGATGCAATTCCAAATGTGAAAGGGAGCATCTAGCAGCTGAAGCACATCAATGTCCCTGAAGAGCTGGTGGGGACCAAAAGCGGAGCTAAAAGGAGAGTGAAAATGGTACTTACACGACACAGAAGACTAAATACACGCTTGCGTTGCTCCATATCGGCTCCATGTCCAAGTAGGCCAATGTTCCGCTAACACCGCGCTGTTCCGTTTACGGCTTGTTTCTGCTGCCCCCTAATGGCCACTGACACTAAATGCAGGGGAAAGAAAACACTTCTGGTTGATTCTTCATTGTTGTATTTCTAGTTTCCTCATCCACCACCTGCTCTATGCCAAGGAGACGGATTTACTATCAGTGGATAGGAAAGTGCTTTAGGATTGTGTTACTCTTCCCCTCCGAATCAATCCAAAGTTGCTATAAAGCTATAAATTAAACTGATTTAGTCAATTATGATATGAGAATAATTAGTTCATTAATAATGTTGAATTATTATTAACTAATAGATATTGATAGTTAATCAATATCAGAGTTCAAGAACTGATCGTCATTCAAGCTGCACACACTTGTTTGCAAGCTTTTTATGCTTCAAGGACATGACAGGATTTTTAATCGGAAAATAATTGTGCAGTCCTGATTTTTCTTTACCCTCTCCCTCTCTGTCTCTTGGTCTTCGCATTTCATTTTTCAACAGCAAATCCCCGCCAGCCTCATCACCATGGCAACCAGAAGCCGAAGAGACTATCTAGCTTTGTGCCATCGTAGCTTCTGCGCAACTTTGATTGGGTGGGAATGATCTGCATAGAGGCAGGAGAGCTTGAATTGTGCTTTGCGCCATAAAACGGGATCCAACAAACCAAACTGACTTTCTGTTTGCTCTTATCAGCTGGTGTTTCGTCTCAAGGGTTTATATATGTCGAACCAGCCAAGTGGAGAGGGATGTAGATTGGGGCTGAGGAGAGATCACAAGGTGCGATCGATCGTTTGTAGAGCCCGGGGAGAGATGGGACGGGGTGGATCTGGTGTATGTTTAAGAAGAGAACTCTTCCCCGTCAGGGTTTCAAGAGACAAAGCGCTGTCTGCGGCACGGAGAGATAAAAAGCAGCTGGTGCTTTATTTATCAGGAGGGAGGGAGGCCGCTGTGCGCCTGTCAATCCATCAAGACGGCTGTCAGCTTTCTTGTCTTTTTTTTCTGCTGCAGCGCTGGTGCTCAACAGGCAGGAAATCCAGCCATTAACAGGATTTACTGATGGCCAATAGACTGCACTGATCCAAACGACCTCCCTGTGTGGCCCTCTGTTCTCTGGGGACGGTCCTGTGGAAGAACTTCTCACGGGTCCTGCTTTGAGCCCCGTCTTGAAGGTGGATCTCTAGTTCTCTTCTACTCTTCATGTTAGTTTGCGCTGTGCTTGTGTGCTAAAGTGTTTTTGTGTTAAAAACGTTTTTAACTCATTTGACTCACTGGCAGATATGCGGTTTAAAAAAAAAAGAATTGATCAGCATGCTGAAACGTTTCTGAATCACTTGTGATGTAAGATGTAACTATACATACAAATACAGTATAAAACCTGATGCACTTCAGTGTTTCATTTTGTCGAGACAAAAGATATAAAGCCATTCTTGAAATGTCCATTATGATTTTTTTTTTATTGTGAGAGAAATGTGACTTGCCATCACCCCGTAGGTGAGAATGAAACATAAATAAAACACTTACAAAATGTCACAATAGATCACAAATGACACTTCCTTTTTTTTGTACATTTGATTTGTTTTATACATACATCATATTTACATATTTGTCTTTTGCCCTTTGTCTTTTGTTTTTTTTTACATTGTTGGGAACAAAACAAATCCACACCAATTTTACGGTGCAAAAGTCTTCCTTCGTTTGAAAGCAGAGGTATAAATGATCTCTCTCTCTCTCCTGAGGATGCTCAGCTCTACTTTAGTGCATTTATCGTCTAGGATTTAAGGCTACGCAGGGTTGACCTGATACACACTCGTCTCATGGACAGCCCTATCATCATCATCATCATCATCATCCTCCTCACCATGATTGTCTTTCACACAGAGGTCTGTGGTTCTGCCCGGCCGCTCCCTCCGACCGCTACGTCTTCACGTCCCCCCCCCACATTAAAGCTGCTGCTGACTGCTCGCTCTGCGATACCAATTACGATCTCTGACAACTTATTTGTTTCGGCACTCAATTACAAATGCGGTTGGGAAAATGTCACAGCGCGTGAGAGCCCACTCTCATCACATTATCTCTGTACGCCGACGACCCGCTGAGAAAAATATGTCAATTTCTCACGGCAGGTAGAATATGTAAAAAGAAAGTTTAAACTTTGTTGTTGTGATGTGGGGGAAGGGAAGAGGGGGGGGGGGGACTTATTTTGTCATAGGCGCAGTGCTCCCTAGTGGTCAATACACACATGAAACCGACCAGGAACAAAACAAGGGGCTCCATTCTTCTCCGTTTCTTTGACAGGATTACTCCAAAAAGCTATAAACTAAAGACACGAAGCAGCTAATTGGCTGTCCCCGTAAGCCTCTTAGAAGACACACTATAATAAAACCGGGCCCGGACACAAAGTCAAATCCTCAGCCGCCACAAAGCAGCTCGGTGGCGCTGCTCTGTGAGCCAATGGGAAATAGAACCTTTCTATTATTTATCTTTTAAAACTTCTTCTGTTTTTAGTTCCTACCTGTCCAGCAGGTAACGTGTGTGCGCCTGTGTGGCTCACAAGTTGGGCTTAGTGGGGATAAAACACAGGCTTAAAAAATGAAGACAGGTCACCGTGGAAACAACACCTAGAAGCCTCGCTTTGGGTCATTTGGATCAAGAACATTTTTAATTCCACAGTGTACAAAGATCTCTGTGATTGGTCTCTCACACGGATAACAAAACTCAAGGAACCATGAACATATTTGGACCAAAGTGCTTCCCGACGCCGGTTCATTTGAAACCACCAGACGCCGAGCGTTTTCTCCCGATTAGGCGTCAAAACAGAGCCTCATCTGGCGTGTTTCCTTCCTCTAACCAGCTGCTTTGTCCCCAGATTAACAGCCTCCTTAGTTCTGAAAGCGCCTCCAGAGTCTATCATCACAGCCGCTGCACTCTGCAACACACAGGAGCCGATAGTTTGCTACCTGCAGAGTTACGCGCGATTAGTTAAAAAAAAAATTAAAAAAGGAGAGGGAAGCTCCACTCGTCGCGCTGGGATGAGAGATGAGGGCCGTGGAAAAAGCCCATTGACGAGGAGATAAAGCAAGGATCGAGCTAATATCCATCAGCGGCTCCACAACACACAAAAGGATATGAATTGATCCGGTAGACGCAGGGAGATACGTCTCTGTCCTTTCATCACCGCTGAGTCTGGAAAAAGAGTTTCACTGCCAAATGGAGGAATCCATTATTCAAATAAATTAAAACCCAGCCCGCCAACAAGACAGACGGCATAAAGTCTCTATAGAAGATTACCGGAGGTATTTGAATTTAAGAACTTACAGAAGGCAGAATTAGTGGACCAGATATGCTTTAGTGAGTAAAGGAATGTTTGCTTTCAGTGGGAATCCTGACTGTCTTTTTGGGTGGGAGGGGTCGTGTTGCCATGTCACTCGGTTCCTGCAGACTTTTCCTCTGTGCTTTTTTTGAACAAGTGGTCAGCAGTGATGCATTTCCAGTGTTGTCATTCATTTGTGTCTCCAAGTGGCCTCTCGTCGGTGTGTGTTTACACCGGGACGGATGGGGTCGTAAAAACAGAATCCCAAAAACCCGGAAAAGGCCGTGGAGCTTGAGACTCACTCGGCAGAGCTTGTGAGGGCTGTCGACCGCTTTCAATTTGATGCTCGCAAATTCAGAATTCTTCCAATTTAAGAAATCTGGACACCAGGCACCTGTGTGTCTTTGGAAACGGGAACCGAATAATCCCTAAAACATTTAACTTGCAGTTGATTATACAAAATATATATATTTCTCTGACATTCTCTTGTATGTATATTTAAATTGCTTGACTGCATAATTTATAGATATTTTCAAGGATGATGTTAAAGGTGCAAAGAAGCCTGGTGGCACACTGCCTTATTACGTATGGAGATGCATTTATTACTACTTGGCAGTAACACATTCCTCCTGAGTCGCTGTGATGGGTGCAGGGAAGAGGAGCAGGGCTTCGCCTCTCAGCAGAAGAAGATCTCTCCATCCCGAGGAGTCTCCGGGAGGTGCGAGGGGTCTGAAAAGAAGGAGGAGGGAGTTCACACTGTGCACTGTACTTTGCATTTCAGACGACACTGGTCTAATCCAGGGACGTAAACTAAGCTGGCGCTAGGACCCAGCGGAGACGGGCGCCCGGTGACCCGGGGGGAGATGGTGAATGCTCTGCACGGTGGACTGTGAGATAAAGAGGAAGCCTGATGCAAGCTGACACTTAAAAGCTCAATTTCTCTAAAAACGCATCACCAGAGTCTACAACCATGACAGGCTGAGCGGCCGCTCCTGAGTATTTTTTATGGTATTGTTAAAGATGAGGGTCAGTTTCATCGGCTAACAAATGTCTTTATATTTCACACTCTAACAGCGATTCTCGGGGTAGAATGTACAGGTGCAGTAGGTGTCCTACGTCTTTTTGTCTTCTAAAAATATAATTATTGAATAACAACTGGTCTTCAAAAAAAAACCGAGTGATTCATAACATTTTTAAACTTTTATGTCTTCATAACAACGAAAATTTAAATTTCTCGTTCCAGGAAAAAAGACTTAATACTGACTAAATGTAAATGCATCCACTTCCTCATATTCACTATTCTCTACCTGCTTCTGGCGTGCTCCCCCCTTTGCTCTTCTTCTTCTTCTTCTCCTTCTCCTTCTCCTTGCCCTCTTTGCTCTTGTTCTTGGCCAGCTGCAGCAGGCCCTTTGAGATCTGGTTGTTGGCTTCTCCTCCTCTGAGGTTGGTGGAGGATGAGGTGAAGGGATTCAGGCCTTTCCCTTTGGGCTTCGACCGCTGCGGCTGCAGCCTCAGCAGGGAGGAAGAGGAGGACGAGGACGAGGAGGAGGAGGAGGAAAGCTTCGGCGGGTCCAGCTGCAGGGACTGGGGGCTGCTGGGGACCAGGGACTCCTCTGACGTGGTAGAGGCTCTCCTCTGGAGGTGGAGGTACAGAAGATGCACAGCTGTTATCTACATCGGGGAGCGCATGCGCATGAAAGATACAAATGTCAGGCTTTTTCAAAGCGGTTTAATGGCAGCAAAAGGGCAACATTTCTGATACGTCCTTAGTGCATTATGAACAGACCCTGGAATTAGTAATATGCACTCATTAATATTTGTAATGCTTTATAACTATAATGAGAACCGATGACATACGGTCAAATATCATAACTACCGGTGTGACTGACTTCTTTTATAGCCAGAATGTATTATATAAGTGTGTGCTTTCAGTAAAGTATTAATTACTCTTTGAATGTTTTTTTGATTTCACTGCACTCAAAGCAAACAATGGCCACTTAAAGTAACTTGTAAACATGCATTGCACTGAATTATACATGGCTTTAAGCAGAGTTCTATGCCTTATGTGGGTTTGTAATGAATTATAGACACGGGCTTCAAAGAAAGTGATGCCAAAAAAACACTTTGGCATAAAAGCCTGGAAATATAACTTCTGTTGTGACTTGTTTACCAGTCCTCTCCCTCCCAGAGCTGTTTTGAAGAGGACTCGGGCGCAAGCCTCCAACGTGAGCGCCTGTAAACACCCCGCGAAAGAGTGTCTGAGCGAAACACAGCATCCCACAAAGCTCGCCGAGGGGCCGACGAAGGCATTGCCTTCGGAAAGAAATCAATAAGAGTCCCCGCTCACCTCCTCCATCTTGTCGAGCTCGCGCTGCACGGCCTCCCTGTCCCTCTCCAGCTTCCTCTGGGCGTCCCTCAGCCGCTCCAGGTCTCTCTGGTACTCCTCCTTCCTCCCCTGCAGGCCGTGCTTCTCCTCCTCCAGCTGGCCCTGCAGCTTCAGGACCTCCTCCTCCTGCAGTGGTTGGAGAGGCACGTTGATGGATTTATTGAAACGGTATAGTGGGATGTGAGAAACTAAAGAGGATGTCACTTCATCGTGGAGCACACTGATGTCTGTGGACTATGTGTAGTGCTGAGCTCCATTATCTGAGACTGAATGAACGAATCAGCTGATTAATTACTGATGCACTTTCAAAATGAAACCCTTTCTTCACGCCGAGAAATGCAATCTTTTGCAATTGTTGCGCCTCAACAGCAGTTTTCATTTCTCTTTGCATATGCTAAACATACTACATTGTGTGCATTGAATGGATGTGAATCACCGCTGCATTTCGGTCATTCTCCACGAATGCCGTTAACCAGTAACAAACCCTCTTTACCACAGCCAGACAGATGCAAACAGTGAGTGCACGTACAGAGAGAACGACTTCCTCACTAACGGATCTGCATTGTTTCTACGGATCAATCAAATTCAGAAGGTCTTTACACAAATCTGTGGAAAGCCAACTGTGATTGTCTTCACTGCATCGGTTAACTCTTTTTCTGTACTGTAAGAACTCTTCACTTCACACTTCTGTAACTGTTTGATTACTGTTAGCGTTTTTAAAAGTCATCAAAAGGAAGAGAAAGTGCTTTTCTTTAGAGGCGATTCACTTCGATTCACCGCTCAAAGCATTAAAACTCAGTCGAGGCAATTATAAATACTGCAGCGGCGCACAGCCTCGACAGCCTCTGCCTGTCGTGGTTTATCCGTTGACAGATCTAAAGCTAGTCATTTGAGTAAGCCGGCATAGCAGGCTCGCATTGAGCTTATCATAAGCCACCCGGGATGAACCTTTCTACCACCGCTGCAACGTTTAGTTATTTGATTTGTTTTATTGCTTTTCAGTTTTCCGAATGCAGTCGGCCATCACTACGGGAAACTTTGCGTGTTTACCGCCATCGCACATTCCAAACCATCAGGTAGCAAAGCAAATACGGTTACATTTGGAGTCACTGCGGCACCGCCCCCTCATTCATTAATACTTAATCAATGAGAAATACATCAACGTGAATCACAGTTACCTGGGTGTGCACCTGCCCCTCCCTCTCCGTCAGCCGCTGTTCCCTCGTCTCCCACTCCTTCTCCCGCTTCCTCTTCTCCTCGGCGTGAGCCGCCTGCTGCCTCTGCAGAGCCGCCAGCTCCTGCCGCTGCTTCTCCAGGCTGCGCTGCTTCTCCTGCTCGATCAGCGAGCTGGGCCGCGAGGACGCCCGCGACAGGGACGTGAGGGAGGACGAGCTGGAGGAGGCGCGCTCGCTCAGGGCCTGCCGCTGGTCCTCGATGAAGCTGTCCTGCTGGACCACCACCGCCTGGGACGGAGGGAGGATCAGGGTCACAATCGCACAGGACCGCTGGTGGTAGACACGTGGTTTTGTGTTTTTTTACAGTTTATTACCTGCAGGGTGCTGAGCAGGTAATGCAGATTGGAGACACTGTGGAGGAACTGCTGCGGGAAAAGAGAAATCGCTGAGCATACACAACTAAAAACATCCGTCTGTGCTTATCGGTGCACTTGAATTGAAAAGATTCATTTCTAAGTAAAAGCTCCAGTGGAGGATTAATGCAAGGTGAATTCAGTGGACTCTTAGGCAAAGCCAGCATTAAACCCCAACTGATGTGTGGACTTTTACTCCATTCAAAAACGCACAATAAAGAGACGACGGAGTCGAGCATTCAGCCGCGTGTGAACTCGGACTGCACAGGCATATTTATAAAGAGTGACATCTGCAAAAAGTCTTGTGCATCAAATATAAATGCAGCATGGCATCCATTGCTGTCTGTGTAAGAAGTAGAGGGAGGAGGATGAGAAGTGATCAAATGTACAGGAGCATGAGCAGCATCCTTAAAATAAAACATTTTCTGTAGGAATAGTTAGCGGAACCGGTCAATAGCCGGTTAATTATTAAAAATATAGCAGCTTCTCACAACTCTTTTTATTAACAGAAATAGTTTTAAATGTAGGGAACATACATTACATTATTGTCTTTTCTACTCTGAAAACAGAATAGAAATCAACAATTTCCGATTTACTAATTCTAACCGAAATATCTTTACAGCTTGCAGATGGATTGCATGCCCGTATAATCTTTGATGACTGGTTGCAGCAGCGTGTCCTTGAACTCACCACCAGAGAACATTTTTCTCTTAACTAATGAATTGAATTGAATCTACTGAATAGCTGGAATAGAAGCTGATTTACAATAACAGCTAATCAACTGACTGTCCATGAACCGCCAAAAAAAAACAAATCCAACAATAAAAAAGGTCAACTTTGTGCGTGCTGATCATTCAAATGTGTTCCTCATTGAAGGCATGCAAAACATGGCACAAGGCTGCTCACAATAACAGCTTCAGAGCCGCTAGCATGGCTGCGGTACTCATGTCACTTTTTAGATAATTTTCCTTTCTCTGTAATTCTAACCATCATTTCATTATAAAGCTATCATTTAAAGCGTGCTCTTCGAAACAAGCTGTTTACTTTGCCTGCCACATGAGTTGAGGCTTCACAGTAAGACCACTAATACAACAAAAATCTACAACACGACACTACTACTCGCGCTGCTGCCATCACTGCTGTTTCAGGTGATAGATTCATGATGATGAAGTTTAGACGACTCCCATGACAGCAGCAGCTCTAATTGAGTTAGAAACAGGAAGTTGACGTTACCTCACTGTTCCTCTTTAGCAGCTGCAGCATGTTGCCGTTTCCTCCCTGCACACAAGCAAAAACACACCCTTAAGCACTGCCACAGCGATGCACTCACATATACACACACACACACATCATGGAGTGTGTACCGTGCATACTGTACAGTGTGTAGGACTGAATGGGATTACAGCTGCACATGTGGGTGTACTGTAAAAATCTAATTGTATCTGTGTACATTAATGATACAGGAACACAGCAGTCTTTCACTTACTAGGTTTTCAATAGGGCATTAACAGCTCAAAGAATTCATTTTCCATTTACAGATTATCGAGAACTCTGCAAACAGCTCTTTTACTGCTGAACCCCCTGTGAACTTTGGCTCTACGCCCGGGACAAAACGGAAATAAAAATCACGCTAGCAGAGTGAATGGCAGCAGAGTAGCCCGGCTCCACTAAAACATTTAAGACACAATCATGTGCAGTCCAGCTGCTGGATCTCTGCAGGATAAACAACTACAGAGGCTGGCAGCAGCCCCTAAAGGCCGCCCATTCATTTTCCTCCACTATTGAATTTGCATACAACTGATGGTCGCCATTAGCAACAGGCCCTTTGCAGGAGGAGTCAAGAGGCTAATTCACTGGTGGGAGAGAAGTGGCTAAATTCATCTCGATGGCGTTGTTAATGTGGGCGCATAAATGCACCCCCACACGCGGCCTGGAGATTCTCATTGAGGGGCGGGGGCGTAGCGGCTTCAAGGGTAATTGGCAGCTGAGATGCCGACCTTCTTCAAAACGCTGTCGGACTCCGTCCTGCGCAGATCACCCGCTGTATCCTCGCTCTCCTCGACGTCTCCACCTGACAGAAAGGGAAACCACAGGAGATGGAGATGAACCCGGCGGCTAGATCCACTTACACTCAGAAACACAGGCACAACTATATGGAAAATGTATGTATTATTATATATTTTTAAAGCTTCACACGGCTAGAAATTGTTTTGTGGTTCTGCAGGCTGCTACTGACATAAAAGTCCAGGCCTTTGATGGCTCAATATCTGCCTCAGTGCCACTGGAGTCCCATCCCGAGCACTCAAGCCTCCAGTGGTGAGGCATCGCCTCAGGCGCCGACTCTGCTGACCAAGTACCGACCTAACACTGCACTGAACAGCGGCATTGTGGGAAAAGTGCTGGATGCGGACCCCTGCTTGCACATCAACTCAGCAGTGAACCTTTGCCGCTCTGGGTCACTGAGTCGATGCGGTTCAGTGTCTTCACACCGCTCGTCTGCACGGAGGCTTACTTTTGCTGCTGTGCATCTGATGGCTGTCGAAGCCTCCGAACGTCTCGGCTCGACGGGGCAAACACACGGGCCCCGCTCCCCCTCCCTCCTGGATGTCGACCATCGCCCCGCCCAGGCTGCCGTTCACCAGCCCCTGCAGCGTCTCCACTGTCACAGACAGAGAGAGAGACAGAGAGAGAGGGGGGGGACCAAAATCAATGTCAGTAAGTGAATTACCCCGGCTAACTGTGTTACGGTTCAGCTCAGCGCTGACTAATCCTACAAGGCACTTCTGCTTTCAGCCAGCAATTGGCTTCTGTTGCTTAGCAACTATTGACAACCTGTTTGAACCACAGAGCTATTTTGCTAAAAGATAAAATATCCGGCCCTATAAAATTATACGAACTTGGGCTACACAGAGTGTGACGGTGAAAAGAACGACATCTTGCTGGTGGAGGTGAACGAGCACTAATGATGAGCTGAGACAACCTCAGCAGGGGACGTGACATTACATATGGATCAAGGATTACAAGGTGTAGCTCACCGTCGCTGCTGGTTTGAAAAGTGGAGACCATTGTAAAAGCTGCATTAGAGCTGCAAACATTCTTAGCTGAATGTTTACTTGTGATCAGCTGCTGCTGCTTTATCGTGGAGCACTCTCTTCCTGCAGCAGTACTTTATTCTTCATTAAGGACTGGCTGCATGGCGTTTGTTTACATTCAGTGAGTGTGTATTATTTTGAATGCTAATACGGTACATCTAAAAAGAAACAGTGATTTGTCATTGCACAATACCGTAGCAAAACACAACAAATAACAATGTGTTTTTACATCTTTGTTTGTCAATTATATGTTTTCTTTTGACCAGGAAACACTGTTCTAATTAAACATCTTTTAAGTCTCAAGGTTTTTGCAGCAGCTTCATGCATCAGTCAGCCAAACATCTACAAAACTGGATTGTTTAAATGTACGTCCAACGTTCTCCACACGGCATTCTCTCTCTGTCCGAATAAACTCTATTCACTCTGGCTAACGGCTAACGCTGCTTCCCCCTTCAGAGACATCTGATGAACAGGGCTGCCGAAGCACTGGGCAGTGCACAGGAACCATTGTCTCTGTGACTAAAGGGCAAATAAGATTGGAGATACCATAACTATAAAAGGAAGTGTCCAGCTGCACGGATGAGGTCTGCGTTATTGTTCGGAACTCGCAAACAGCACATACACAACACACTCCGACTTACCCTCCTGCAGGGCGTCCAACATGATGGACGCCCCCCTGGGCGGCTCCAGGCTGCAGGCCGACCGGAAGAAAGGCTGGACCTGCCGGTAGACCTCCTCCCCTGGGTTCAGAGGCTCCCACATCCCCCTGAAGAGCTGCACCTTCTCCTCCAGCAGAGACATGATCTCTGTGTCCTTCTGCCTCAACATATCTGACCGGCAGAGACAGGCGGGGAGGAGAACATTTTTGTAGCATTTGTGGCAAATGTTTTCCCCTGTGGAGACCGTGGACGTGTTTCCCTCACCTCGCATCTCCTTGGCTTTCGTCTCCAGTTGTCTCTTGTCATCTTCCGTCTCACTGGGAATACCTTCGTCCTCATCCTTCTCCCTGTCCAATCAAAATCTACATCACTTCCAATATCTCTGAATAAGTCTACAAGCAGGGATGAAACAATTCAAGTTGGAAATGAATGGCCAAAGACTTTGATTCCTGGATAAAAATAAAGTGGCTATTTCTTTTTCTGACTATTATTGACTAGCCAGTTCTTTCCGATTTTGAAATAATTGTTCTCTTCAGCCTTTCAGTGTGTATAACACTAACACCTCTGAACAGGAACAGAGGTGGGGCAGAGTCTCTTCTACCTCACTTCTGCCAATATATTGATTTTTGTATTTGAACAATCTGACAGGGAGAGAAAAGTAGACTGAGTGACAGAGAGGTAGATCTCTCGCCTTCCTGCTGGCTGCAGTGGAATAATCCTCTGCTTATAGTGAGCTGCCCTTGAAGCCAATCCAGTATTAGACTGTCCCTGAGTACATCCCATCCCCAGGTAGAGCGGCGCTAATCCTCCTGACAGCAAAGTGCTTTGTCGCAGCCTCCCGTTTATTACTATCTGGAGAACTGGGCTGGGTCTAACATCTGGGTTACAACACAGAAATGCTGTGGATGAGCCCTGAGGAGCCAATAGGGCATGTGAAGCACGTCTTGGCCAGTTGAGTTAATGAGCTTAAGTTAGAAGTAAATGGAGCCTGAGGTGAAACTCTCAGTGAAACAATGTTCTTCTGGCCAAAAAAAAGCATTCAATGGTTGTATTAGCAAAATGCCCTTAACACTCTTTTAATTAAAATCACCTAGACGCATAAATAAATCCCACTTACATGGACTGCATGGCCTGCTGGATGAGCTGCATCCAGGTGTTGCGCTCGTCCTTCGAGCCGGCCAGGACCTCCATCATCTCCGGCTTCTCGATGCCCGTCGTGATGAGGAAGAGGCCGCGCTCTTCGTTGGCCACCTCCCTCACTATCAGCTTCTGGAGGGAGATGACGGTGCAGCGCTGGTCCTGTGGGGAGGGAAGGGCGAGGGAAGAAGGGGAGGGGTTGATGGAGGCAAACGAGGGAGGAGGAGAATGAACAGAAGAGAGAGAAAAGATGAAGAGGAGGAGGGAAAACACATGTTGTTGGTGGGTGGAAGCAGGGGGGAGTGAAAGGACGGGGAGGACGGGAATAGGCGATCAGGGAAAAACAGGCATCCCAAAAGGGCCGAAGGACAGGGATAGATAGGTTAAAGAAATATGGGTGTGGGGGGAAGGGAGAAATAAGGAGAGAATACTTTTAGATGCTGGTTAATGTTATCGTCAGCTGATCAGCGGTCTTTGCACCCTTAAGGTTGCAAAAAAAAAAAAAGGCTAAGCACGGTTTAATAAGCTAACACCACAACCTCTCGATCCAGTGAAACTCAGCCGCACTAAACCACATCCCAAAGTTTTTTCAGCAATCTCGTCTGAGGTTTAGGGAAAGGTTCTTTTTAAAGTAACTGTGCTGTGGAATAATGGTACAATCCACAATCCGCAGCTTGTGCTTTGTGAAGGGATGCACAAAGGTTCAATCAAGGGAAATCTAGTGTGCATTTTTGATCTGTACCTTTGTCTTTTTTATACAAACCTCCGTCTCTGTTTTATTAAGCTTCAACTGAAACCACCTTATTCGGCTAATTTTCCGCCAAGGTGACCTTTGACCTGGGCTACTTTACACCGTTGGGGATCTTAAGGACTGAGGCTTGAGAACCTGGTTCACATGGCCGGTATCCATTCAAAGCCACACGTTATGTCAATGGCTTCAACTCAACAATCTCAAAGTTTTTGGAATGATGGATTTTTATGCCACAGGCCTGCCTCTGTTTTCATTCCGCCCACTATGTGTGTGTGTGTGTGGTTGTGTGCGTATGTGCCACGAAGCTGTGAGTCCTGTGAACACGGAAAAAGACGTTTATAATTATAATTGATTGATTGATTGATAATTGACCTTTAGAATTTATCACAGTTGGTTTGGATGGCGAGAGCGGCTTTATTAGCTACAGCTCACCATGTCATGCAATATTACGGATAGGCAAAGGGCGGCGGGTAAAGCCAACAGCAACAACAGTGTGATCGGAAAACATGACAGCAATGTCTCTGGCGGTGATCTTCATTACCGGAGAGATGGGAAAAAGGAAGGAACAGGGGGCAAGGAGAAGGACAAAAGGCTTAAAGAGAGAAATGAGAGCGGGAATCCTACCAGCATGGCGAAGACATATTTCTGGTCTTTCTCTTGGAGGAAGACGAAGACGTCCGACAGCAGCAGAGCGTGGACGTCTGGAGAAGAGCCGGGAGGAAAGTGGTTGGATAAGTACAACGTGTGAACGCGCGTTTACGGGCAGAGTTTGCGGCCTCCTCACCCTTCGGTCTCCCCTGGCAGTTCTTCAGCTGCAACATTCCGTCGTGGATCAGCCTCCGCCTCAGCAGATCCTCCTTGGCGAAGATCTGGCCGCTTTTTGTCATCATGATGGACTTGCTGTCCATGCGGCCGTGAAAGTCTTTCAGGCGGCGCCTCTTCTCGTGCTCGTTCACCTTGTTGTCGACCGCGGCGATCACCTCCTTCACCAGCCGGACGGCGTCCGTCAGGTCCTCGTGGTCCTCCTCGCTCTCTGCGCTCGACATGTGACGAGAGAGAGGTGAGACAGGGTAGCGGTCCAGCATTGATAACTGTCTCGGTATAGACTAAAACACCTGTTAACCAATGGCCGGTAACCAAAGCCCCATCTTTTTTATCTGAGGAAGTATGATTTTAAGAACAGTTGTATTTCCATGCCGGTGCAAAAAAACGGCAGACACAAAATGCATCATGGCCATTTGGCCATTTGGCAATTTGGACTCTGCCCATGAAATATGCACCATGATTAAGCCCAAGAGTCGATATGTCTCTGATACACATGTCTTGTTTATATTGTGCACTTGGGTTTCAGACATCAGTAAGTAACACTTTCCCCCCCAAAGTCAAATATTTTCCTCCTATGGTTAGTACCTGAGTGCTCTCGAGCACCATAATCCTATCTGTAAATGTGAGCGTGCCATGTTACTCCCACACAGTAAATATCAGCATTGGCAGGAGAGAGTCCTTTTAAAGCACCTTGGGGATTAAGGTAGAGCCCCCCCGTGCCACATAGAACTATAAACAGGCTTTGAGGGGGATTAGATTGAATGTACACAGTGGGAGGCCAGACGAAGAGGTGCTTTCAATCAGATCTAAATAACGTGTGAAATATTTTACATCCACATTGTATTTAGCCTAAATATTCTATATATATATATATATATATATATATGTATATATGTATATATAATATATATACACACACATATATATACATCATCTTCAGGGGGATGTGGGAGCCTCTGAACCCAGGGGAGGAGGTCTACCGGCAACCTGAAGTGATTTAAGCTGACAAGGCTTTCCATTTGCTCAACCTTGATATTTTAATAGATTTTATAAACATATTCTAGACTGAGTAAAAATATGCTTATCAAAGTGTCTTTGGGCAACTTCACTAAATTATTATCTTGTGTTGTATATTTTATGCAAAGTGATCAGAGGATAGATAAGAATTGATAAAAGACTTAAATGTCTCCAGCGAACGCTACGAAGCGGAGCTATTTACGGAACCAACAAAACAATTGAACACAGAGTGAACTCTGTATTTTTGCCATCTCATTAATCGATCTGTAGTCGCCAGCGCAGCCCCAATTAAAACCAACTTCCTCCCGCCACTTTCCCCAATCCATACAGTCGAGTCAACCGGCAGGAAACTAACCTTTAGTGTGCTGCAGAATTCTCTGAATTAGCACCGGGTACTTTGTTATCCTCTGGGTAACCAGTAAGATGCATTCTGGGATACCAAGCCTCCGCACAATGCTGCTACTCATCTTTTTCTGGGGAAAAAACAACAACAAGTGCTTTAGTGAAACATGTCAATGTAGCAGGTGGCTCTAAACGATAAACAGAAATGTAAATTCCATTCTCTGTAGAACAATACAGGCATATTACTTAAGATGGTGTTTGCTGTGATTATGGATACGACCATTTCAAAACAATAAAAGACAATGGAAAAACTAATGCATTTGAAATAAAGCAGACCGTCTTAAGGGTATTGTGGCCCACATAGAAACGCTTAAAGTGCATGAAAAAAAGAGACAGAATGAGAACAAGCTTTCCTGGCTAACACAATGAGTGCCACTTATCACACATCTATTCATCAAAAGAAACATCGCCTCCCGGAAGACCAGACATCTCTACTTCAGCGAAAAGTATCACTGATGCGGGACACAGCAGTGACTAAAATGGGACTGGCTGAAAGGGGCTTACTTTGATAAAGGCCTTGAAGCGTTTGTCTTTGGTCAGGAGGTCCTTGTAGAAATTCACGGCTTCGTTGTGGCGGCTGCAGAATCTTCCGTAAACCCTCTTCATGCTTTCACCTTTGCACCCTGAGAACTGGAGCAGAATTTCACAGGCATGAATAGGCAAAAGAAATATGGGTACAACAGAGCAAAAGAAAATTAAATAAAAAAAGTACTAGGGCTTGAACTTCTATTGCGAGCTGGGACTCTGTAAGCACTGTGTTTTAGTTTCAAAACTCCAAAAGGTAAAACCGGAAGAACCATATTTAAAGAACGCGTCACATAAGAGGTGAATTAACTCATACAGCATACTAAAACAGCGCTGGGGACTGCTATCTGTTTCAACGGTCCTGAAACATGGAAATAAGAGAATACAGTGCGAGGCCGGATGAAGGAACAGAGGTGCTTTGAGCAATAATACCCAAAAGGATCATGCTGATGTTGAGCAGCTGTGCTGTTCCACATCTCGGTTTAGCGTTGGCCTTTCTTACTAGAGCTTAACACATAGCCCAGCTGAGGCTGATGGGAATGTTATTCCCTTTCCAGGAATTCTGTAATAAACCAAAATATTGGAAACACTGAAATGTCAAATGGAAAGAAAAGTTAAGGAATCTCCGAAGTCTACAGGATTCATCCTATGGGGACCATGCTTGTGTGTACAAATGTCATGGCGATCATTTGCCTAATAGTTATATAATTAACTCATAATTATGTTCATGTCCGGAGCAAAGTAGTGAACCAACCTTCCAACTCACTGACATTGAATAGTTTATGGGAGTGCTGTTTTTAAATCCTCTTTTTAAATATTTGCAGCCGCCATGTTTCCAGCAAAGATGCCCCAAAAGAAGAAAATAAGGAGCCACAATTTGGGGAACTGAAGTCGCACTCTAACCTGGCTGACCAGGATGTCCCCTATCCTGTTGATGATGAAGCCTCCCTCCATGCTCCCCCCCTGCAGCTGGCTCTCCTTCTTCCTCTCCAGGAGGCGGAGGAGGTGCTGCGTGTGGAGCTCCAGCAGCTCGTCGATGGCGGGGAACAGCTTCTCCAACATCTGCAGCTCCAGCTGCACCTCCTTCTGGAGGCCTTTGCTGTAGACCTCGGACATGATGCGCAACGTCCGGATGTGGTGCATCTCCGTCTGCATCAGCTCTGAAGGACACGAGGGGAGGAGACGCCTGGTCAAAGCATTACTTAAGCAGCACTTTGTGTACCCGACCACACATCTGTGCCTCTGCATAATTCTACCTCTGAGGTCGTCAGGCAGCGTGTGTCACTGATTACCTTTGTGTAAGCATAGAAAATAGGCTTTTCAGGGGCCTCAAATAGATTCTAAGCAAAGGCTTGAGACGTCTGGACACACAGTATGTAACTGAATGAATATATTTTTATTAACAGACTACACCATATACAGTAGTTTCTACTCATCTTTTTGATTTAAAAAACAGACACAATGGAGACTAAATGGCATAAACACTTAACTGCACTTTTTAAAGTTGCTTAACATTTTCCTGTATTTCCGATGAACTTGTTAAAAGCGTATTCAGGTTAATGGAATGCACCATAGATGACGTCCTGCTTCTTGGCTAGCTCTTTGTCCAGCTGCTGCAGGTACTGCTGCTGCTCCGCGCATAAACTCCAAGAGTCTGCTTCCAGCTCCTTGGCCTCGGCCTCGAACTCCCCCATCAGCTGGCCGTCCATCATCTCTGTCCCTGCACAACACAACTTCTACTTTCAAGCTCAAGTTACATAATAGGATTTTTTTTATATCGACCTGGTTCCTGTTTTGATTAGTAAAGCTACGTCACCGCTATTTGCTATATCCCATTCGTATATAGACTGCTATTATTTGCTGACGTTGCACTGATTATTTAATTTAGTGTGTGTGTGTGTGTGTGTGTGTGTTAACCTTCATCAGTGAGTGATTCCATGGACTCTGTGACCTGGTTGGTTCTGTTGAGGGAGTCGGTAGACTGGGAGAGATATCGCAGGCCTTTAATGGGCATGTCGTCAAACACCGGACTGGAGATAATAACAATAAAACCACAAAATTAAAACCACAAACACCCAATAAGCTGATTAAACAAACAGGGTGCAGATATGGTGCAGTGGTCAAATAAAATGTCATCCCCAAAGTGGCTTTAATGCAAAAACATTAAAAGCATTCTCTGACAAACACACAGCAGCTCACCCAGCGATGTTGCTTATGGAGAGACTCTTGGAGAGGTTGTTGCCGTGGAAGGTCATGATGCTGGTGTGTCTCCGTGATGGGATCATCAGGGAAGGATGCTCTTCGGGAGACAAGATGGCAGACCAGGGGCGCTCCCTTGTTCCACCAGCTGGACCAGAGACAGATACATTACAGGAAATGAATATTGTGCTCATCACTGAGCACTATACAGGCAACAACCAAAGTTAGGTGTAGGACAAAGGTCCTTAAACCTGCATTCTTTTTTAAAGTCTTAAAGAAAATTACCTCCAGCTACCCTTCAGAGAATAGTTTTAGGCTGTAAGATGTAAGACATTATGACACATACTACATGTAGTGATACTGCTGGAGTTACATGATGTTTCTCAGCAGGAAGCGCATGATTGTTTCCTGTTCACTCTGAAATGGCCATAGCTAGTAGCACCGCACTCTTAAGATTTGCTCTTCTAGTGAGTCATTTTCAGTGATTTCCTCTCACAACAGCCCATAACCTTGCTGTGAGCGAACACAAAGTAGGAATGGATTGCAGATGCTTGGTTTATTGAAGCTATTTCCAGTCCAAATGGCTGCTAAAAAAAACAAGTAATGTTGAATTTTTCGATTAGATCTGCAGATGAGCGCTGGAAATGACAACATGTGCCAGTGGTTTTGCACTCACATTTGTTCCTCATCGTGACCGTAGGAAACAGGCTTGAATCTGGTACTGAAAACTGTTGTTTGGGCGGCTGGCCAGAAAAGGAGAGAACAAAAGTATTAATGAGGAGTTTGCATCAATAATGGTTGCAGGAGACAAAGAAGCGTCTGGAATCTGTGGTGCGGTTACGCTCGGGGAACTTTTACCTTCATCTTCACCTTGGCACAAACAGGCAGGCTGTCCCTGCAGCTCTTGTGGACGGAGGCATTACAGTCTGGAAAGAAAAGCACCAGAACGCTGAGTGAACGCTATGAGCGCGGCGGTGGGGGTGTCGAGGGCGTGTGGAAAAGGTGGGGGCAAGAAATTCTGACTCTGACTTTTTTCATAGCCGGCCAGGAAACTCCACCAGCCCACTAATGAAAGCCAGACTGGAGCAGAGCATGTGATGCAATGGAGGGGTAATACGAAAGAAAAAAAGAAAAGAATGACACACGGACAGTGCATTGCGTGGGAAAATGTCCTTTATAAAAACATTTCCAAAGCCCCATTTTGAAACCAAAGTCATCATATTGGATTGGATTAAAATAAGATCTTCTCTGTTAAATCAATGAAAGGACTTTTTCTAAATTCCATACTTTGAAACAGAGAGGTCCACCGACTGGACCACTAAATAAACTACTGAATGAACAACCAGCAGAGCCAAATACAAACATACTATGACCATCATTTGGAATGTCAAATTGCTATTTAAGAAATGTCCAGAATTCTACATATGGGCAGTCAGTTGGGAGGATGCGGGTGACAGAAATGTTGAAACCAAACAGACTCGTCACAGATGCTAACCAACAACATTTCCGCTCTTTAGGATTACATCAATGCACTCACGCTCTGACACTCTCTCGGTCAGGGGGAGAAAATAGTCCAGTGTGAACAGCATGTAGTGCGGGAGATATGTCACTTTACCACGTGTTATACATGCTAACGTCTAGTCAACCACATTTTCTCCGCTGGAACGCCCCCCCCACAGGGCACAGCTTGACGTTTTCCCCACTGGAAGGGGCCTCTCTAGGGCATTTGATCTAATTTTCTCTGTTACTAATGGTGGTAAAAGCAGCTTAAAGTCTAGCCGATTTATTCTCCTCTTAAACGCTTTTGCAGGGCATTTTAATGCTTTTTGTGGACGTTTCAAGCGATTCCAGCTAATCTCAGACAAAGGGCAACTGTCTGTTGAATGGACACCGGCCAGACATCTCCCCTCAGAACAGTCTGTGGCTCCAGAAATCCCAACCGGAGCTGTTCCTGCCAGTTTGAGGCACATTGTGACCATTGACAGAATCGTCTGATCCATCGCAGAGCTGTTTCTCCTTATTAGGCGGTGTCTGGCTTGCGCCAAAGGCTTGTGCAATAAACTAGATCCTCTTTATTGTTGCTGCTGATGTTTCAGTAACAATGCAAGAAAAGGTTTGGTTGTCCGAACTGAAAGCCCGTCTGGGGGACATCAGAAGTTGTCCTTTAGAGAGCGTCACTACTTCAAACAAGTCATGAAGCTCAGAGAGTAACAGGATTTTCTGTTTGGTATTATTTGAGTTTTTGACTTTTTAACACTTAAATAACATCAGCAAGATAGTAAGCAAACATATACATATACTATCTGTTACGATCAATTGAAAAAAATTATAAAAAGTTAATAAAGTCAATAAACTAGCTCCCTTTCCATTATGCTTCAAAAAAATCCCCTTTAATCAAAATGTTGAAACAAGTTCCTTCTACACTGTTTTATGATTGTGTTTGTTGTCTGACTTGGAACTAACTAACAACCACTACCTGGTCTTATCTAACGTTTGTAGATGATGCATTGTTTACGTTGTGTCTTTTTCTGTTTCCCCTTTGGGGAGTAATGCAAATCCTCTTATGCGATCTCCCTAGTTTTCTTCCCAAAATAAACTCTTAAACTACATATGTGGAAACCTCCTGTGATTATTGACAGAGCTTTGACCGTAGGTTGATGCCACGTAGCATCAAGGCTTGACATGCAGGGGCCACTGCACAAAGGGGTTTCTTTTCCTTACAGTACACTTGCATGTTTAGTGTTGGGTGCTCTCAGCAGCGCAAAGAGATTAGCGTGTTCCCTTATTCATGGTGAAACTACAGAGGGACTTACGCGTGCACTGGAACGCCTCCTTGCTGTTGAAAGCCTTGTTGCACTGGAAGCACTGGGCCGCCTGGCCCGGGCTCACTGGTGTGAATAGATGACCGTTGATCGTCTTCTTGTCCTTTTCTTTGACCTCCTTGTCCTTCTCCCTTTTATCGCGGTCCTTTTCCTGCACAGGGGGCAGCGTCATAGTTTAGAAGACAACCCAACCAAGACAAGGCTGTAATTACTTTACCTTTTATTCCAGCCTAGTACAACAACAACAACAAAAACAGAGAGACAATGCTGAGTCACGTTTGGCCAGTTGCTTGTGATAAATTCCAATCTTGACCCAGCGGAGCAATGTACTACGCAGCAAGGGGCTTTGCATATTAAGTGTTGCGTTAACTATGTTGACACAGATTGCCTCATTAGAAGACTTTTTGAATGCAGTGAGTCTTTGTTTCAGGGAATCTTTTGATTTAAAAATAAATAATAATAGCATTAAAACCTGGAATTTGCTGTATTTTTAACAGGATTACTGGTAGTTGGTTTATAATTCGGAACAGTTCCACACTATGGTTATGCTATTGGTATAATAATATTCTATCTCTTTTCTGCTACTGTCTTTCCTTTCAAATTGACGGAGATTCGCTGTCTCGGAATCGGATCTCCGACCTTTGCACAACAGGGCATTCGGTCTGGTCCGCGCTCGCAGACGAGGTCGTCCTCAGCTGTTGGTCATCTCGGTACACCGAGCTGAATCACAATCCCCATAAAGCTACGAGAAGAACAGAGCTCTTATTCTCGTGGAGTTGCATCACAGAGCCTCCACCCAAACCCAGAGGAAACGGTAGAGCGGGGGCGGGAAATTGAGTTTCCAGCTCGCTTTAATAGCCGGCCCCCGGGCCTCTCGGTTTGAGGGGACCACAAGGCTCCGACACACTGTAGCTCTCTTTTTCCTCTCGTCTTCTTTAACGGCAGCTTCGAGGCGCCGTTCGACTGGCTTGAACACAGACGCCTGCATGTTGCATTACAACAACGCTTGTCACTTCCTGCAACAGCTGTCTAACCACAAAACACAGCGACAAACTCCAGATGAGCATTCTGCACCCCAGTGACTTTTATAAGAATAGCTTCCTTTTTTGACACTCAATGATATCTTCTTTTTAAACACAATAAAAAAAAAAAAAAAAGTTTAATGCTTTGGAAAAAAACAGCCAATTCAAGATTTAAGCATAGTTCTTCTGGTGGCAGAAATGATTAATCCTGAATCACGGTTTCAACACAAAAAGACATATGGGTGAAACATACTGAATCAGGTAATGACTTGACTTGAAAAAAGACATCAGCTCCAGGAGGGAACACAGCGAACCGTTTTCACATGATACCTGACAGCCTCTTCCACTACAATTTAGACGAAAAAACAAAATATAAATAAAAAAAGAGCAGTCCTTTCGCCTACCTCCAGCCAACCTTTCCATCTCGTTGAGATGCGGTGTCTCCGCGTGAAGCTCCTGCATAACATCACTGGCTGTGGCTGAGGCTTCTGGCGGCACTCAGGCTACATCGGAGTCAAAGCCGCAATGAGGAAGTGATCGGCTCGCGACGGGAGGTACAGACGCGATTTCAAAATGGCCCTAACTACCTCCTCTCTGAACAGGACATCCAGACTCTGGCTGTTGTTATTAACGGACAATGTATTTTTCTTAAAAAGACTTTGGAAGTTTCAACGTGGTGCGTGACAGGTCAGCGGTTGCTGAGGTTGCCGTTTTGGTTGTCCCCGACAACAAACATACTGCACGGATTTAATTCAACAACCTGGTGCCAACTTCAGCAACAAAGCCCTGTTAATAGTTTGCTAAAAAAAAAGAAAAACATGGTCAATAATGTTTCCCCTGTACCTTTAAAAGCAGAGCAGCGACTGAGGTTGGATAAGACTATAAAACCACCGTCATCTTCGTCTTCCTGTTTTACTTCCTGTTCACCCTTCTGCGTCTCTCTCCAACGACTGCGCAATAACGGATTGCAAAAAAAGTTGAAGTTGCTCTAAATAGTAAATTTTTTCCCAAATAAGCATAATTACTGGATATCAAAATACAGTGCGTCACTCCTGCGATTTTGTGCTTTCATTTAGTATTCATTCATTAAGTATTTTTTAGTACTAAGAAGTCCACATTATGCTGAGGAAGAGTTGTTTTTCTCTCACAAAAAGGAATCTGAACTACTAGAATTTTCATTGCTTATAATGTAATAAGAAGATATTCTCACTGGAAAAAGATTTTTTGCCGTTAAATAACTTGCTCAGACTTTGTCTTTTAATCCAGAGATTCATGTCTGCAACAAAGAAAAGGCTCTGGGGGCAAATCTGAAAAAAGACACCAACTTGCCCTGAAGAAAACCACTGGAAAAGAAAAGAAAACCACAGTCTGATGGACTGGAGTTGTTCAGAAGCCAGCAGAAGGATCCCAGTGTGAGTGGTGGGAGGCTGAAAAGCAGCTTGCTGCTCGGTCATCCTCGCTCAGAGGAAGACACGTTTAAAAAGGTGGAGAGGCCTGGGAATGGAAGCCGAACAGGGTAACAGACAGTTAAATATCCACGTTCCCTCACCCTGGTCTTTTTGTACATCTTGTTCTTGAGGTAGCTGAAGGTCCGGCTGACTTTCGTCACGCTCTTCCCCTCAGTGTCGCTCCGCAGAGGGCCCGGCTCCTCCTCAGATATACTGTCAGACACACACACACACACACACACACACATTTTATCCTCAAGGAGCTGCATTCCCAAGGCTTACCTGTTAACACATTCCAAACGCTGTTTTTCACAGCACTGTAAAGCTGTAAAAGCCTCAGGAACTATTTTCAGTCATGGTGTGTGTGCAGAGCTTAACTGACCTGTACGCTAGGGACCCGGAGGCGCTGGAAAACGACCTCATACCTAGAGAAGAAATAACAGGAATACATGGGTAGGACAAAGAGTCAGGAGTTTATTTTCTAGTTGTTGTGAAATTTTTCCACATTTGTGAAATGTGGAAATTCTCCTCTATCTCCATTTCAAAATGGTGAAAATGTTTAGGGGTTGGACAGAGCTGACCACCAGTGAATGAGCTGACTGACCTCAAACCGCAGCTACCAACACACACACAAACACGCACGGACGCAAGCGGAAGGGCGACATTTTGATCCAGTGCCATTGATGACTGCTAAAATACTAGCTCCAAATGAAATAAAAGCCTTGAACTCTCAGAAGTCTTGCTCTATTTATATAAGAAATGATGGACAAAAATCAACTTGATCAGATATTGCGGCCGCGTCTCACATCACATAAAATCCATCTTTAAAATGTATGTAAGATGTGTTACCCAACAGCATGCAGAATTACTGCCTCCGTCAACCACCACAAGCTGCAGTTTACAGTTGAGTGAAATTGTCCTAATTAGCATAATAATCAATGGCCAGTCATTTTATTTGAAAAGGTCACAGCGACCTTTGACCTTTTGCTAACACATCCTTTCCGGTTGACCTTTTGAGTGAAGGTGGACAGATTTAAAGCTGAGACTTCACCGACTGAATGGCCACAGCTATACATTTTAAAATGCCATTAAAACATATTCCACACACGGGGCCTTAGTTAAATCATCACCATCGAGGGGGGGGGCAACTTCCTTCCTCACGATCATTTTGCCTTCAACATTCTGTAGCGCATTGTAAGCACGTATGCAAAGCATTGCTCGCCGGCTCTGCATCCGAAAGTCACACCCAAACCAGGTCCATAGGGACAAAGTTGAATCGGGAGGAGACGTAGAGCGCCAATGGAAAAAGCTCACGGATAAGCAAAGGGAAGGCTTGATTGTCTTTGACTAAAGTTGACACACATTTATCCGAGAAGGCCCTTTACCAGCGGTGTTTGTGATAATTATATGTTCTTTTTCTCCGGTGATTGCGTTTAAAAACGGGGACATATCTAAGGATAGGTCAGCTGAATCCTGGACCCAGAACTGGACAGGGTTTTTACAATTGTCGTCAACAGGTATTATTAGTTGTATTCTAACTGCACAATCCCAAGACACACGGCTTCATGTCAGCAGTAAGTACCGGTTTCCTTAAAAAAGTTTGATGCAGCTGAACTTTGGGCCCTTCGGCGTCTAGTTGCAAAAGCGTACACACTGCAGGGAGCATTGTAAAAAGTGAAAGGCTGTATGTTTATGCAAGGCTTCTCAGGATATTCAACGTAACAAGAGGCATTTTGCGGCTAAATACTATGAAGTCGTAACGGAACTTTTGCCTCTGGGTTAGTTCTTTGAGGGAGAGCCAGGGCTCTAACGGCAACAACTACCGGTCTGGGTCCAACATCACAGCTACTATCTACTGCAGCTTATAGGGCTTTACTTACTCAAGTTATCATCATCATCATCGCTAGATGAGGAGTCCCCGAAAACAGACTGAGACTTAGATTTGTTGAGGATGGGGGAAAGGCTGAAAGAGAAGGAAATTCGCCTCTTACGTCTTAGGTGTCCCACTGCTGGGGAGGAAGGCAGGAAGGAAAGAGCCACAGCAAGAACTTATTAAGATGGTATGGACGTATAAAACGGAAACTTTAACAGGGGGCTGCAGGAACGGGTCCTAAAACCCGGATGGGAGTCAGCATCTGCGCGTTATTTTCCATCGTCTTTAAGTCCATCAGACTTTTGATTAGCTGCCAGAAATAAGGTCTGTGGTTCAGACAGATAAAAACAGATTATAACGTTTCATAACATAAAATGCACTCTGTGGAATTCTGACGTTCTTAAAGCGTCTTAAAAAAAATACAAAAAAAATTCCCATGGGTTTGTCTGTCGAGGGAAAAAGCGCGATGCTAACTTTTGAGTAGAAACAGAAATACGTCATCCCTGCAGCACTCACTTTCCACTTGGTCTGATTTATTGGCGCGGAGCTCAGTTTGAAGGCGGGAGGAGTTGTGCTACAACTGCACCGCCGCATTCACAGAGAGGGACATCGGTGTAATCTTTCCGGTGGTGCGTGTAACGGGCGTTTAAAGACAATGGCTCTGTATTTAACTAGCTTTTAGTTGTGCCTCGCCTATCTAGATCATTTCCCTCCACACCGCTGAAACTTCTCCATCATCGATGAAAGAATGAAACCAAATCTAAACCTTTTCATTATATTTCTCATTTTGTGGAGGTTCACTTTGAAGTCCACACTTCAATATAGAAATAAAGAGATATTCACCACGGACTGATCTAGCATGGCCCACTTTTAATATACAACTGGAAACAGATACCCAACGTATCGTTTTTAAAGAGTAGCGTGGTTTTATTAAATGCCTGAATGTTTACAGTGTTTTTAACACATGGTTAAAGCAGCACGATGGAAAGTGGATTTCTTGAAACGTGTAGGTGCCATGGAACAATAATATAATGGCCATAATCTGGATCTGTGATCGCTGAGGGTGAAAAACCGATAAACAGCCTGATGACTTGTCACTCACCATCAGTGTCTCTCTGGCTGATGGCGAGCATGGATACTGACTTGGTGAGGGGGAGGGTCATGGGAGGACCGCTGTTTCGCAGAGGCCGATACCGCCTTGATTTCTGGGGCGAGAGACACAAGCTTGAGTGAAACACAGTGCATGGTGATGTCAACAAATATAGGAAGAAAGGACACTAAACCAGGCGGAGATAACGTGGAACAAAACATTACCAGTCACTGAACTGGAAGCAGGGAGGATGAACTCAAATGGTTAGCAAAGTTGTGTTCACAATTTGCTTTAACTCCAGCAATGAGAGCGGTGCGACGGCCCCCGAGGAAAAGCAATGTTCATTAATTCTTGCTAATCCCCAAACTGACAAAGTTCCCCAGACTGTTTATGTGCGAGCTTTTTGCAAATCCATTTCCCTCTCATGTGTATTAGGCTGAGGATGTTTTTGAGCATCCCTTTGGGGCCGACTGCGCGACAGTGTGAAGATATGACATCTAAAAGGACTAATGTTATTATGTGCGTGTGTGTGTGTGTGTGGAGGGGTGGGGGTGGGTAAGCTAACCAGGTCATGCAGTTTGCCATGCTGCCCCAGGTCCTCCTGCTCCTCCGTCAAAGACACCAGGGAGCCCCTGTGGTCGCCGTCACGTCGGGGCATCCTGGACGCCTCCAGGATCCGGCTCCTATGAGTGGTTGGGCCCCTGAGCTCCTCCTGGGCCGCACTGAGCCCCTCCAGGCTGTAGCTGTGGAGACATACAGAGAGCAGAGGTGACCACAGAGAAGGAGGGCTGACTTTACAGTACGCAAACACTCCAGTAGTCTGCCGCTGTGGTTACAACAAACACACGCGGATGTGCACACATGCACCTGTTGGCAGACACACAGAGCCGGTCCTGCACAGTGTTTAGCCCGTTGAGTTATCGTTGGGCCCCGGAATAGATTTGCAGTCGAAGTGTCAGGAAAATGTCTTCCGACATCGGCATAGAGAGCAGCTACATCGATCTATGACTATGAAATAAGGAGGCCGTCAAAAAAACAAAACAATGCGATGACTGTGGAGTGGAAAACGACAGCCACATTTCAAGCTGAGCTATACGCTAGTGTACGCGGCTCTATTCGCTTTGGGACGGAGTCTGTGAAGATGAACGCTCCAGCCGTAAATCTCTCTTATCTCCGGCCGCTGGGTTTTGTGAGGCACTCCATTATCCGGCAAATCATCGGCCCCGCACATTCCGACATACTGGACTGAAAGAATCAGTCAGGTGATTGTCAGTGACCAACGGGGAGCAGCTCTCACCTAATCCTCACGGCTGTCAACGCAAAGCCTTGTGTTGGTCAGATTAAGGCCTCCTTCTTGCCTGCATCGTCGCACATACTAACCCACGGAGCCGCGAGGTCCTCGGTACTGGAACCATAAATAACAGCAGCAGCTGTAGGAAGCTGACTGACTCACTGACCGACTGGGCATTCAAACGCTCATAACCACAGGCCTGTAGGCACACGCACGTCCATAGAAAACGGCAGCTGCAAATGGGGCAGTAGGTAAAACACACCGTATTCAAAGAGCAGGAATTCTAAGCAAAATAAAACAAAAGAAAAAGATAACTTACGCACACAAACACACTCTACCCGAGGGAACTAACTACTTCCAACTTGCACCAGGAGGGCAGCTTGGGAGGTGTGAGTGGGAGCTGGAGGGGTTAGTTAAGATAATCAGGGAGAGTGAGGAAGCAAGTGTGGCAGAGAGCTTTATGGGGCGGATGTGAACTGCTGCTCCGAGCATAACTGGATATTGGTAGGCACATACAGTGTAAAAGGAATCAAGCGAATTTCCTGCTGCAGTGTAAGCGCTTTAATAGACAGGAAATAGAATTGAAAAAGAAATGCAATGCTTTCAGAATAGCCTTATAGTTACTATTGACGCTACCGAAACCACTGCGGTGGTAGCCGCTGCATCTGCATAAATAAAAGACTTTGCAGTAACTAGATGCTTCAATACAGTCATTTAGAAACTGTTGGTCTAGACACTAACAAAGTATTAAACAAACAGTGAAAAGATCAATGCCGTTTACACAATAATGGTGTTGAAATTGTACAGGACTGAAATCGTGCCAGAAATCCTTGAAACCTAACAAGCTTTTTCCCCCATCTTCATAAGTGATGTCTTTCAATTTGAGAGCATTTTGATTTTTAATGGGATTTGAATTGTGGTGGGGTTACAGCCCAAATAAATCCATGTGCGGAGAAGATATCTAAGTGCAGACGTTTCAGCAGCATGAGAAGGTCTGAAGCCGGAGGACAGGTCTTTTCTGTGCATGCAACAATATATCCAGCACACAGTTTGAACAGAAGCAGCACAAATCCAAGCGCCGGCAAGCAGGGTTATGAGGGAAAGCATTACAAAATGTAAATGTGAAATCAATGGGTCATGCCTTTAAATTGAAAGGCCACGCTCCTGAATGTAGACAGGAGAAAAACGAGTTCCAAAGAAACCTGAAAAGGTTGTTTAGGTCCCATTCAAGTAATCTGCACTACACCTGTGGCTGACATCCTCAACCTTAAACTGAAGATGCCCTAACAGCCTTCATGTCCAGGATGAGGGTTGGTCTTCAAAAAAGTCTAAAAAGAAGTACACTCAGGATCATAAGATCCTATTTTTTTTGTACTGTTGTACGCTCCCTGCAGGAAGTTATCCAAAAAAATGTAAAAATATCTCTGTTCTCAATCTTTCACCAGTACAGTCCTCTGAGCCTCCAGATTTAAACTCCCGTCTTTCTCTGGAGCTGCTTGTTACTACCACTGCAGTACAAGACACCACCGTCTCCACCACCTACAGTATTTATTGCAGATTCCGACGAGTGCAAAGAAAGCCATTTTTCAGCTCACTTCCTTGCAGCGATGGGAGCACAATGCAGCCGTAGTTTAGCAAGCATACATTTAAAAAAGTTAAGGGCGATCCACAAAAAGCTGCACCTACATAAATGTGTCAAACACGCGTCAACAAGTCAATGTTCACATGACATGAGCTGGTGAACGGGATATATTAGTACCTTCTCCTGTGAAAGGTTGGCTTTCCTGCACCAGGGCCATGGATGGAGCTGGAGGTGATGGATGAGAAGGAGATACGGGGGAGTGGTGCGTGGAGGGTGAGGTGGTGGAACGGCAGGTCAAAAAGAACATAATGAATGGATGAATAAAGTACGTACGTACGTCTCTTTAAGGGGGTTGGATATCTATGGGCAGTAATGTGTGCATGTGAATAAAGCTCTGAGGCACAGGACACAGCGTAGGAGGAGTAATGTCAATGGCATTTCTTCAGAATAATAATCTTAAAGGGAATGATAATAAAATGTGTATATGATATATGTTTTATGTGCCACGGTGTTCCTCGACCTGGAGCATTGAGCTCCTTGACTCTCACAGTGGTGTCAAAACTCCAGGACGTTACTGTCCTTGGCCAAGAACGAGGCCCCTTTATGAGATACAACAAGGTATTACGTACTTTCTGGTAGTGAGCAACTAAGGTGCTTAATATTTAAATGTCTTATTTCTGCATAACCCAGCTAGATGTGTCCCTGTGTTTTCTGACATTATGCCACACATAAGCGGTTTCCTGTAGCTTCACACTCCTCATACAGACCCCATCAGCAAGTATTTCCAAAATGTCAAACTATCCCACTCTAATGCGACTAAAACAGTGTGATAATTGAGCTGGAAGTGGTTCGAACACGTCTTGCATTTGTTCTCACTATTCTTAGAGCCACAAAAATGTCACTACAGAACTTAACGCAGCATGTGGGTTTAGGAGCACTAAGAACTTTTCTGTAACAGTTAACATGCTTCCTATGTGCTTCCCTGTTGATTTGCAAAGGGCATTATTCTTTCTGTCATTAGTGACACTGTAAAGAAAGATGACAGAAGACTTGTTGGCGCAGGCTGCTCGCGCCCAGCTCGGGTTTAATCAAAAAAGCAACTGATAAAAGTCTTAAGCAGTTGTTTTTGCCGTTTTGGGGGCCTTTTATAGCGCGGCGACTCCGCTCTAGACGGACCGTGACAGGCTGCCGTTCTAGCTCAGAAGACAAAAGGCCACCATGTTCATAAATTCTCGATACGTGTTCTTTGAGTGGGAAGCAGCATGTGTCAACCGTTTACGCACGCACACGGCATCTCGCGTGCCTACAAGCCTAGACAATTGCAACACGGCTGCTCGCAGCAGGAGGAGGAAACGCTCAACACAGCACAGGGGGAGAGACACATCGACCGGCTGACACAGACGTGTGCACGCTGCAGGTCCACTGACCTCTGCTGGTTAGCACCTAGCTAACAGGCAGACACTCCTCGCTACGGGCTTGTCTCACCTCCTCTGGTTCATCTCGGAGTCTGCTCCGTTGTTCTTTCCGGGACCCCAGCTGTGGCGGCGAAGGGGCGACAGGGAGCGGAGGCTGTTGCGGAGGATGCTGGAGCGCCGCGGCACCTCTGTCACTCGGTCTTTGGCTTCTTCTTCAGCTTCCCCGGCGCCTTCCCCTGCTGCTGCTGCTGCTGCTCCACCAACACTAACACAACCACCAGCGTGCAGTCCTGCAGCGTTCGGAGCCCCGGCCTCCTCCGGGCTCCAGCTACATTCCTGGCCCTGGCTGCCCTCGGGACTGGAGCTGGACGGGCCGACGCTGGCTGTGTCGTCCGTGGAGGAGCAGGAGACGGAAACCTCGCTGGCACTGTCTCCTCCCGTCACTGCTTCATCGCTCTGCACACATTCAAGACATATAAATATGCACATTATTGTCACCGAAAAGCCTCACCGCCAGAGAAAAAGAAGCATCACCTGAGCCAGAAGGATGTTTACACAATTACACAATTTGAGAACAATGTTGATTGACTCATGATTTGAGGAAGCAAACAAGTTTAAAAATAGCTGCTTTCACTTCACTTCCACATTCGACACCACTGTGATCGGCAGGCTTTTCTGCTCACAGTAATTCTCAGTACTTTAACTGACCGACCTGAGTGGAATTGAATAATACAGAAATGAAGAAAATAGAACTCCGTAGGATAGAATGAAACAGAACCAAAAGGGATAACAAAATACCATCTGAACCGAATGGAAAAGATTAGATTAAAGCAGAATACAATAGAAAGGAACCTAGAGGAATAGAATAACAGTCGAGCAGAATACAGTAGAAACAGTCAGAAATATAGCATGACACAACAACAATAGAAGAAAAATGTGGTAGGATGGAAGAGAACAGCTGTCCTTATTATTATTGCAATTAGCTCTCACATCTCTATCAACATTTCTTCACTGAAGCATGCGATGCACTAAGGAAAGACAGATATTTACTACACAGTCATATATAACGAGGACCACATACCAAAGCTTAGGGATAATGCTGACATTAAAACTGAAGACCGGCGCATGTGTCTGCGTCGTTGCGTCGACGCACCCGTTTCAATTCATGGTTCTGCGTGTGTTGCAGAGCAATTCACCTCCACAACAACAGGCAGAGTGACGCGTTTTGTTGAAGACGGCCTAGAGAGTCACGTCTATTTATTTATTTATTTATCATAGACTTTATTGCCCCGTGCATCGACACTGCTGCTTTTCATCGCGGACACATTTGTCCCGTATTTTCCTCCACAACTTTGTTCCTATTGACCGGCAAACCGCCGTTTGCGGTGATCTCCCTCCATGAATCCAACCCGGCTTTAAATCAGGCTTTAAAGCCGATACTTGATGGCCACCTTGTGAAAACAATATAAATGGAAATATAATTATATATATAGAGTATTGTTCTGTGCTTATGTAGTAGCCTAGCCTGATATGCAATACAATTAACTATCTGACTGTAGTTTAATACAAGCGAGTACAACAGAAGGGACATATTCTTTGGGCTGGGTGTGATGGGAAAGCGCTCATGCACGCGCACACACACACAGGTATGGGATGGTCCATTTAAGAGCTAATTTGTAGGTGTGATCTTTAACTGGGGCTATTGTGCTGCCAGCTGCAGCGAGCAAGCCGAGCATAGAGCCGCCTCTGTTGGAGAGCTTGGAATGAAAGATCTGCTTCATACTGCGGACAAAACTTCCTGTGGGAGCGAGACAACGTGTGTGTGTATGTGCATTCAGGGGCATGTGACTGCAGCGTATATTTGTGAGTCACGTGACCTCAGCTTTGGAGTTTAGGAAAGCATTTAGCTGGATCCATGTAGGCTTGTAGATGATGCTCCAATCCTTACGTTAGTAAGCATAGAGAAGATACGCGGTCTTAAGCGCACGTGGACGTGACGGATGTTGGGCTGACCCTTTAGCGAGATCAAAAGAGTCCCTTAGAGTCATGAAACGGGCATCGTGTCATCCAAAAGAAAGAAAGTTTCCCCTTCAAAGTGCATTGAGGACATTAATCCTCTCTTATTGAAGCTGGATTAAGCTGCCGAGGTCCTAACCGCCAGCATCACACCACCACCGGGCAGCGCATGTCCTCTGTGCCGTGGTTGTCTACAACAAACCGGACCTTCGGTTCACATTACCACCAGCATGATTCAGAATCAGGGACACAAGTATTTGAGCCGCCTGGCTTCAAACAGCCATCCAGCGACATCAGGGACCACAGCTAACCCTTCTGTAGAGCTGACGGCTCAAAAATAAATAAATAAATAAGATGCCTAGTAGATGTTTGGCATCCCAGCCCGAGGGCGCTGATAGATGAAAAGCCAACCACAGACCGACAACATGGCTCCACGCAATCCCCGAGGGGCCAGTTGCAGGGGCGAACATGGTGTCTGGATCACAGGCGCTGGACAATCTGCTGAGAGGTCGCGGTTCATCAATTATTAACCACTTATTGATCGCTTTGCAGGTCTGGTAAGCCGGTTAACACTCGCATGGAACCACAAACAGCAGAGATATTTATGATGTGTCGTTTCTGCACTGTAAATATAGAATGTCATTGGATTGGGCGCAGAAAAGTTGTCGTGGCTTTTCAATAAGTGGAATCGGAAGCAGCAAACCCTCCAGTTGTGGGTCCGGTTTGTGCGTCCTGGAGGCGACGCTTTCCTACTGACCCCCTCCCCCCACCCCCGCCCAACATACATGAAGTAAAAACTGCCAGCCTGACCTTTGTGAAGACGCTGTCATATCCCGGCTCGGCGCTCAGGAGGCTTTCTATGTCACTGCCAGAGTCTCTGTGAGGCGCGGAGGGACAGCTGGTGTCACTGCCGGGGAGGCTGGCGAGTCTGGGGAGGGAATGTGAGGAACCTGCAAGACAGAGCCGCAATGCGTTAACACTGAAATACAGCAGGTGGGGAAAACAGAGAGAAACGGCAATCTTAACTCTGAAAACGGTTTCACTAATGGAAACATGAAGGTGCCCGGGAGAAATCTTGAGCATTGTTAAAAAAAAAAAAATAGAAAAAGCTGCTAGAATGGATAGCTGGATATTTTCTCAACGAGAGCGTTTCAGCAGAGAAATAATGTGTTTTCGTTCCCTCCTCTGAGACATAAGCAGGTCTGTTAGACATCAGTGAAAAGACTTGTGGGAATCTGAGAAGGTGTGAAAAGGCCTGGCGGATCAATGGCCGACTGTCCCGACTACAGCGGCTGTTCTGTGCGTTGAAAAAGTCTGGGAGCAGAGCTGGAGTTAGAATCGCATTCAGAAAAAAAATCACAACTGGAAAATTGTATTGATTCGCCAGCATAAAAACAGCATTGGTCACCCCGGGCCCAACTGAATACTGATGTTTACTTCTAAAGAAGCCTAAAAGTTAAAGTTTTTTTTCTCTTCAGTTACCAGCTGTTTGATCATAGATCAGCGCCTAGACAGATTTCTGCCAAAGTGTGCAAACATCCGCCCCAAACTGATGTGTGTGTTCGATGGAGTGAGTTCCCACACCTGAATCAAACACATTCAATAACACAAAAACCACCCACTGCACTCACTGCAAACCCCGGGCCTAAGATCCCCGTACTTCTCTTAAAGTCTCAGCATTCCTTAACCAGAATGTATCCCACAGCAACCCACCACGAGCCATGTTGGGGTTTGAACACACTATTAAAACACACAATTTTCTTTTTTTTGAATTCTTTGAATAATAAGAAGTCTGCACAACATTTTCTGACGGGGCCAGCAGTGGTTTTATTGGACATGTAAGGACATGCAGTGATAACGTCCCGGGCCAAGCTTAAAGAGTACGATCGCACCAAGATACAGACGCAGCTTGCTTTAGCCAGACGCCAACATCAACTGGGTGAAATCATTCGCCGGGTTTGTTATTTTTTGCGTCACTCCCGAGGTCTATTTTCAGCCAGGGACAAAGGGGAAGTTATTCTTTGTCCCATAGGAACATTTTCCCTGAGCTCATATGAGAAAGAGGAAGTTTCTAGTGGGCACTGCAGGGGGGGAGGGGGGGTGGGGGGGGCAGAGGGGGTCGGGAGATGTGACAAAGGATCTCGCTGGGAGAGATACTTAAATTTTAGCAGAAATCGTTTACCCTGCATCACCAAACCAGCAATAAGGGCGGGGGGGGGGATTACAGCCACTGAAGAAACGTAAACGTAGGTGGGCTGAAGGGGTGGGGTGCGGGGGGGGCAACCTCCCCCCTCCTCCAAATAAGAGGCCCACTCGCTGAATCTAGGACGGCTGAGTCCAAAGAGTGAGGAAGGATCGCTACAGCAGCACTCAAAGAAAATAACATTATTTCAATCCGCCGCCGCCGTGAGTTCTGTATCATTTCCACCCGCTTGCTCAGATGTTGACAGTTCAATTTCCTCATTAACACACTCTTAACCTGGGAGAGTGAACTAATCAGCAATCATTTGATTACAAACGAAAGCGTGTTTCTCGCTCTTTTTCCCCAAAGTGTTTTCACAGATCAGAGAACTGGCGCCATAAATTATCCATCGTTGAGAATCACGGGGCTTGAAAGAGCCGCGGAACCGAGTATTATTCAAGTCGGAGAATTCATCCATCAGAGGTGTCAGCGGTCTAAAGCTTATTCAGGAAATGAATGTCTCCTAATGTTTACATGAGACGCCGTCGAGCAGTTTCAATCGGGCGGCAGAGAGAGACGGAGTTACGGCGGTCTTCCCCTCTATTTCCGTGGAATAAAAATCTCCCGTTGGTTGATTTCTGGAAGGAGAGTTCAACGCTCCCAGTGCAAAGTACGGCCGCTTTACGACAACAAAAGCCCGCTTAGTTTAAAACAAAGCGGACAGGACAACAATCCAAATGACAAAAAAAACAGACTGACCTTTGACCCCCGTGACGCGCGGCAGAGCTCAGCGTCAGTAGAGGCGTTTTTTTTGAAAGTTGACGCAAATCATTCTACTCTATATTCTTCAGAATTCTAACTCCCCGTTCCCACCACGAACTGCAGGTGGTGTAAATGCCAAAATGTGTGTGTGTTGTTTTGTGGGAGGGATTTGTGGCTGCGACAGAAGTGGGCGATTGGTGTTTTTTTTCCTCTCCACACCCGTCGCACCTGTGCACAAGAACTAGCAGGGGACTGTGAGCTTTGACAGCTGTCCTCCTCCCTCTGTCTCCAACAAAGACACAGACACACACACATAACAGGTGTAAGGACCTCTGATGAGTTGGTGGGTGGTTGAGGTTGGATAGAACTTTTGCTCACCCCCCTCTGTGGATTATCATTTTTTCATCATTCGTTCAACCTCTAATCCAAAAATCAAACATTGCTCTCGTTCTTATCAGCTGCTGCTGTGGAGTTTTTTAATCCCATAAAAGAAATCGATGACAAGAAAAAAGGAAACCCAGGCTAAACTCGGGAGGAAAAAATGTTTGTTGTTAGATGAATTGCGGTAGAAGAAAAACAGCTCAGAGGGAGATATGATCCAAACAAATCATCCAGCCCGAAAGTAATGCATACGGTGAGAAATAACCGACAGGACGGAGTATCCATTGGGCCTCCCGGCCACAAAAACACCCTCTATCAGTAGAGATGAGTCGCCCAGAGGCTTCCTTTAGTGTGCAAAAGATTTCATCAGCACCTACGGATAAAACCTCACTCGTTTTTTCTTCATACCCTTATGCCTCCTAAGCCGATGACTCGTGTGCACCTGGGAGGAATTTTTGCACATTTCTTATTACAGCTCTTTTTGCGTTGGTCGGCGGCAGGTGGGGAGGCGACCGCAAGTTTGAGGGGTGACCGGGGTTGAGGCCACCAGTAGAAGTAGAGCACCCTGATCTGGATTAGGTTCAATTAATGAGCTCATAACCAGCCATCCAACACCTGCTGGTCACCGGTCTATTTTGAGCAACACACAATCAACTGTTCCTTGAAAAATAATGTCATTAAATCTGCCCTCGGTCTCCTCCAGTGTAAATGCGGGATTGCTGAGTCGAGTTGAGCTAAGCAGGTCCCGGCGGCGCCCCTTGACAAATGTAAGATCACGGCGCCTTACAAACTACACTTTAAAACAGCAGCAGGGTACGCCGGCGAACTGTGGCCTTCCCAAAACACATTAGCCAGCTAGATCATTGGCTGCAGGGCCATCATCCACCACGAACAGCACACAGCGTGCGCACAGGCTGTGGCTGTGCAGGAGCTTGTAAATCAAGTGCTCATGGGTCCCGTCCACGTGGCCCCTGCTGCTGTGTCGAAACTTTGGGAAAAGGCAAACTTTTTCTATTAACGTCAAGGGAGAACGTGCAAGACGGCGCTGACCACCCAGTCTGCTGAGGCACAGCGAGATGTCACCTGAGGTCTCAACCCGGACGCTGACCCGGCTAGCCGAGTGACTTAACATTATTATTCTGGGTCAAACCATTTGACCTTTGACACTGACAACAAGAAAGGTCAAGTCCTCCCGGCAAAACTTTCTATCCCACTCCAGTGGAAGATTAACAATTGCTTACCTGACAAGAATAACGCCCATGCTGGACGCTCGGCTAAAAGACAACGGCATCCGCTCTGCAGATCGCTTTTAACATCGCTTGTTCAAATCGAAATATTCAAGGAAATCAATCAGTTGTTGATGGATGGAAGTTGTGGACTGAGTGATTGGCTGGTCAACCCTCACACTAAATGTTCTCTCCCTAGTTAGTCTAAATTAGTCATTTGTCATTTAAATATAGACACACTTAGACATATAACAATCAGTCAGAGTTGGATCTGTTTAGTGAAGGAGAGACTGTTTCACCAAAGGGAAGTGATGTCAACTACTCCAAGCTGCTGCAGAGGATCCCCCCCCCTCTGTTTGACACCGCTGCTCATTCTCTTTGTCACTCTTTCCATATTTGGGTTTCTTGTCCTTCCCTCTGTATTTCTTCACCTCGTTTGTCCTCTATCTGACTGAAGAATAGTCTTTCATCTGTTTTTCTCTGCAGATTGAAGACGGTTTGCCCTCATCGATCTGTTGCTCGTGTCCTATTGAGGTCTCACCGCGGACGCACTCATTTAACAGAGTTCATGCTGTCTTATGCCGCTGTGGCTTTTGGCCATTCATACGTACACGCCAACCTCTTATTTCTTCACATTTCTCAGCTTAGGGACAGCACCGGGGGTTGATGACATTTGTTATTATTTGCTGCTTAACAAAATCAAAAAACAACGTGTGTGGAGCCTTGGTGAGACGCAGAGCTTAGCACGTAACACGTACATAATTATAAAAATATACCATCAACATAAGATGCACGTTAACATTTTCATTGTAACCATGTTCGCAATTAGCACCACTTTAAACTTTTTGAAGGGTGTTACACATCGGGGGCAAACAAACAATCGACAAGAAAAGATATAGATACTCACTCACAAATATTTTGCAAAACTATTTGTAGCAAATGTGTGACAATGGCATCACTTAAATAAAAGGTAAGAATAGATTTGCGTAGCCAAGCTGCCAGCTTCCTGTTGGCCCAGAGCAGCATCTGGTGGCCTGGGAAAGGTGAACTATTGCATCTGGTACACAGCTTTTAATGTGAAAGGTAAGAAAGGAAGGAGTGGATTTTCACAGTTGAAAGGAGTAATAATTAAGTCCCTGGTGTGTAAATTATAGAGCCGCTAGCTGGATTGTAAAGTCTCAGCATTGTTGAACACTAAAAGACATTTCTAAAAAAAAAATTTTTAAAAGACAAACAAATTGCAAACTGAACCTTAAATTAAACTGGAGTGAAGACACACTGCTTGTGAATCCTACATAAAAAAGAGGACATCTAGACATGATTAACACAGCGTTGCTCTGTTTCCTGAGCTCACATCACGACTCACCAGGCTGCTGCTGTCCTTCCTGCTGTTCTCTGACACACCTCTGCCACTGACATAAATCAGCTCTGTCACACGCACCGCGTCCCTTCCAAAGACGCCATGAGGTCAAATGGAATAACAATGAGGGTCAACGGGAATGACTGTTACCACCCTGCGAAGTTGGCAGGGACCCGGAACACATCATCTCGCTTGAGCGTGAGATAAAGAACTAGGTACTCTGCTCCACACGTCCAGTAAGGGCCAACGAGGAAGCACACATAGGATATTTTAGTCATTGTCTGCCCTTGTCCTATGGGTAGTGTTTTCAAAAGAAGAAGTACCTTCTTTAATCTATTTAAAAGAATTTCCATTATGATAATAACACCCGGACTGTGCAGCCACGGCTCACGAGTGACAACTCTATCTGCAGATTTACAACCCAACCCACAACTCCAGACCCCATGTTGGACAATAAAAAGGCATCCAAATTATACAGAAAAAACAATCATCACTTAGCATTAGTTAGCACTCACATCACGTCTAGTGTGTGTCTGTGTTGTTGAGCCGGGTGGTTTGTGTGCGGCTTAAGAAACGCTCCTCTGGGACAAAACCAAAACATTTAACGCAGGGCAAGATATTGGACATTCAAAATACTTTGGCATGAAACTGGCCAAACAATAACAGATATTAAATATAGACACAAAAATGTGAGAGTTCACAAAAATACCAGTCTGTTACTTCAAATTGCTCAGAGTCTTGACTTGTCGTTTCAGACCAACTTCTCACGGTCTCAGTTTCCTCTTTTGAGGTGAAAAAAGTATGTCAGACTTTACTTTACTTAAATCCAAGAGAAAAAGAAGCAGTTGCCAAGCGCCGAGGCTGCGCGTAGATTCTCTGCTTCGAGCCAGGGAAACTGGACCGTTTCTGCAATCACTTCAAACAAACTTCACAGGCCAGCTTAAAACCCGAAGACATAAATGACCCACATTGTCCCTGCTGCGGAGGCAACCTCGCCGTGTGCCTTTAACAAGAACCTTGTTGAATCCCCCTCCCCAAAATGAAATAAGAAAAGTCTGGAAACACTGGGAAAAGTCAAGTCTATTAACTCTTACCTGAGTGCTGAGTGTGGCAGGGCTGATGGAACGACGCCTCTCTGTCTCGGTGGATCTACAGAGGAACAGGAAGACACTGAATAAGCCTCTGCATCATGTGACCGTCGCTCCACAGAGAGACAGTGATGCAGCACGGCGGGTAGGAAGTGTTGCTCAGAGCGCGCAGGATGGGAGGCAGCGCTGAGACGCTCTTTGTGACGGCCGACTGAGTATTAAATCGGACTTTAGAAGGTGAGCCTGAATGAATCTCGTCTGTTATCTTGCCCTCTGAAACCCACAGTTACACTGACAGGAACACACACACACGCAAGCAGACACACACACACGTGCCGCAGATATGCGGTAGGCTGTCAACACACAAACGCGGGGGATCCGCTTCCTCTGCGGTCTGAGTGTCTATACAACAGCTGTGTGTGAGAGAGAGAGAACTCATTTTGGTGAGAACCACTCCCCCCCTCCACCCCCCGCCGCCCATCCCCCCCGTCTGCAAACATCGCAAAAGCTTTGACAGTTTGGCCGGTGCTGTACAGATCTGACAGGCAGCTCTGGATGTGCAGCTAGCAGAGGCCCAGAGGAAGCTCGCTGTGCCATAACGAACCCAGACAACCACCCGAAGTTGGACGAGCTCTGATTTATCGAATGTGGCTGGCGAGAGGAGCCTCGCGTGAAAGCAGACGCAGGACCTGTTGGCTCTACGGCAGAGACCCCGAAGACGTGCCGCTGTTTAAAAGGGTCAAGTGACTTCTTTACTGAGCTGCAGCGAGAGATTAAATGGATGTTCATGGCATGTCCTCCTTCGCTGGGTTGGTTCGTTCCGTTCCATCCTACTGTAGCTGGTTTCCTCCCCTCCTTAAGTCATCCCAGTTAACTCCCAACCCCAGTTAAGCCCAGGTTAAGCCTGGCTCAGATCAGCGGGCTCTAGCGTGGCCCTTTAAACGTGGCTGCAGTAGACTTGAACAAAAGGAGCCTCCAGACGCAGAGAAAACAGGTGCCCGATCTAAAGGCCACGACATTCAGTCTGAGAGGAAAGACAACAAAAGATGCCTTAACAAGTCACTTCTCAGTTTCAGTTTCACCACCACGCAGATGATACATGTTCTCCTTGAAGCCGTTCTACGGATCCTGAAGCTTTTACTAGATCGGTTAGAGGAAAAAGGCTTTTGGCTCCTGGTTCCGGTAGAGGAGTCGGACTAAGAAATGGATCTATATTATATAGAATATAGAAACAGCGAGCCTGGCGTACTTGAGCACCTCTAACGCACACACGGGTGATTGTGGATCAGGGGATGGCAGGGTCGTACTTTAATTCAACCCCCGGCTGTGGTTGGATGTGTTCTTGGGAAAGACCCCTAACCCGAAAAGCAAAAATGCTCCCATAGCTGTGACTAAGGTGTGTGAATGTTAGTTACTGATGATAGTACTGCGAGCAGCTGGTGGCAGGTAATGAAAAATAAAGCCTGAAGAAAAGAAGTCCAAAACTCATTGTGATCAATTCATACAAACAACTAAGTGCAATAACAACTCCTTGTGTTTATTTGTTTTAATACGTTCTGGACACTTATTACAATAATTGTGTCAACTGTTCAATTACCTGTAAAGTTTATTCAGAATGAAATGTAACAAATGCCTGTGCCACTTTCCTCAGAGCTCATGGTCTCCACATGATATAACACAAAACAGTGCAGCTTGGATGGGGTACGCTACATCTTTAAACTACATCTTTGGCAAATTCACATGTTCAATCTTTTAATGGTGCAGTATACTGGTCTCAGGGCCTCACAATAGCAGCAGGCAACTACCATCTCTAAAGATATACTGGATTGATGTCTACCTGAGCAGGGCTTTTCCTTGCTTTTCTGCACTTTGTTAATTTGTATTTATTTTTTTGTTACAAAGCCATGCCGGCCCTCATGTTTTTAGATGATGTAGATGCGTAGCAACCAGCTTCCATAACAAAACGGGAGCACACGCGCCGCGGTCATCGGGTGGAATGGCAAACAGAGACGGATGCATAACAGAAAGGCTAAAAAACAAATTAAGAACCTTGACAGAGAAGGATGAGGGAGTCCAACCAACAAGCAAGGTCAACCCTCCCAGAATGCTTTAGGGGAGAGGGAGGGGGGCGGAGCTCAATTTCTAAACAACTAACCCTCAACTGTCCCAGAGCACACTATTGAGAAGCCTGCTGGGACCACGAGGAACACAGAGCTCTGTTGTCCAGGCCTGGGAGTGGCGTGAGAGTGTGTGTGTGGGTGTGTGTCAAAGTACCCACTGTGATCATTACGCTTTGGCATTCCTACCAACACAGACAGGCACTTACACACCAACTGGCATTGTCGACTTGCGCCTCCATCAGCCAACAGGGGTGCATGCATGGGCACTTATTGCAAACGCTTTTGTTTCATTCCTTAAATTTTACACACACACACACACACACATGCGTGCGCCCGCACGCAGTGGCGCACACACACACAGGCTTTCTTTTCTCACAGCTGTGTTCAAGTATCAAACAGAGCCTGCTGAGAGGGAACGAACCCGCTGACGGGGAAAGATTAGTTGGTCACAGAGGGCGCCGGCACACACAAACATCCGCGCACACACAGAAACGTGCGCACAGGTTCCGCTCAGATGTGAAATGATTGCCAGTGATTGTAACAAATTACAAAGGGCAACATGGCTTGACCTCCCAGTAGAGCGGTGGCAGCGCAACCTCAAAACGATTAAAAGGGTCTCAATTAAAAAAAAAACAGGGGTCAAAGCCAAAGTAAAGGAAACGGCAGCTTCAAGTGTTTTAATAGACGGTTTACGCGCAGCGAGCCAGCAGAACCGCTTCAGTGGGCTTTGGCACTGATCACAGAAAGAACTGAACTATTAGGAAACAATGCAATGTGAAGCACATGCACCTCAGAGAGGGCACATGCCCTAAGGGACAATGAAAGAGTTTATATACATGTGTTTCCTTTATTCTGGAAAGGGGGGCCTGAAAAAGAAAAAGGATTGTCCAAATTCAATCATAGGATCTTTTTCTGTGCCTTTGTACTTTCTGCACACACACACTGTGGGGACGGCCGGCGAGGCTCTTCTCAGTGGCACCTTGGAACTGCACAGACTTCAACTCGCCAAGCACTTCAAAAGGGGAAGAAAAGCTAATTCTCACCATCTGTCCGATGATAAACGCAGCTGCTACACGGGATTAGTTTCAAGGGGTTTTTATATTTTAATATTCTAGAACCAATTGAAATCCTACCGTCGAACCTCCCTTCGCAGAGATGTCAGAGGTCAGCTCGGGGACATTACGGCGCACAAGTGGAACCGAAGGATTTTCGAACCACTCGGATACTCAATTATTTCCTCGGAGATGGGCAGTGGTATCATCACCCCTATTATTACAAGCCAACGTGTCACGAGTCAGAGGATGTGGCCGTTTGAGAACGCGAACAATCACTCCGGCATCAGAACATCATCTGGAATGCTAGAAGACGCCGTGTGTACCACACTGCTCAGTATAAAAGGCCCATTGACAGCGACTGTAGCGATGATGTGTTCGCTGACTCCCGGCCAGCGGAGATGCTGCGATGTGAAACGCTGGCCCGTATGAAGTCATTTGGCCAGATGCCTGTTTCCATCTGAGGCCAGAGGAAACCGTTAGCCCGCCGCTTTCTAATTTCCCACCCTCGTATCGCCCGCTCACTTTTCTTTCACACGCACACAAACACACACACGCTCCGGTGAAGAGAAGAGCTGACATCAGGTACAAGTTTAGAAAGTGATAACGGACTAAATAGGGGTGTTGCACACACCAGAGCAATCCCCTCGTGGACGTTTTCCCCTTGGTACTTTCCGCTCTGGTCCATGAGCCGTACTGTTGTTCAGGGTCATCATTTAGTTCATGCATTGTACTTTATAGCCCGGCCTCCAGTCATGGCTGTTGGTTTAACACTCACGCAATAGGAAACAGTTTTCGTTTTGAGTTGTCAGCTTCCTATCTGAGTAAAAAGGGAAGGAGCCTGTTCAGTTTTGCACGTTTTGGATTAAATGTGGACAGGAGAAAGTCGAGCAGCTTCAGTGTGCGGCCGAGAGGTACCGGTGACCGCATTTAATGGGGTCTCAAACCCAGACCAACAGGCTGGCCTGACTGCTGGAGGTCAATACCCAACCGTAACCAATCGTTTCTGACAGCGCTGTTCTCCCTTAAAAAAAGCACCGGGTGTCACACACCTAATACTCTGTCAGAGCCAGCGTGGAACACACTACACTCCTCCCTGGTGGAAAAAAACAGCAAACTTTACCGGTAGAAACGTTGAGCCACTTGGAGGTTCCCAACTACAAAAGCTCTTTTTATGTTCCTATTCTCACTCGTTATACCCTGGAACCACAAACAAAAGGTCACAAAGCGCCTCAGCTCAATAGCCTACTTCTCACTTTGTACTTCTACCTCAGGGGACACATTTGTAGCACTACATTTACCTGACGGGCCGGTTACTTTGCCGAATATTCAGCGAAAAAACATTCAAACAAAAGTAATGCCGCTCTTTCACTCTTCAGTTGAAGTCATTTGAACAAATTATTTTTACTGGAGCTTCAATTAAATAACCAATAGTTCTACTCAGTCATTAGTTACTACTACTAATAGTTAAATGATGTATCGTCAGGCAGGACAGCGTTGGCTGGGACACCCAAAGTCACTAAATCCGGCCCTGAAAACACACATGCAGGACGAGACAAGAGATGTAGTCCACTAATTGGTACTCTCCGACTTGCAAAATAATCTTTTAAATTGCCAAATATCATACGTGTAATTCATGCCACAACTCAAACATGATCAAAAAAGGTTTCCTCTCTCGTTGATAACCACCGAACATATCTATTTCTTTCTGAAATAACTTCCTGTGGGGAAACAGGAAAGGGGAGGGGCTGTGCTTCTGCTGGAAGGCCACTTCGTATGATGAAAACCACAAACCCGTTTACCAACAACCAACGGGACCGGCCGCTGTCCGACTTCATGAAAGTGGCCTGGTGGGAAAAACGTCCTGAAGGGTTCTACGCGTGTGGAGCCCTCCGGCCTTTAAATACCACCTCATGGTGCACTAGAGATCCTAATTAGAAAGATGTCAAAGAACATCCAGCTCAACTGGATTGACAGCTGACCTTTGCGGCACAGTAGCAGCACCTCAGGGGCAGTTAGATGTCCCAGCTCTGCAGGGTGACCAGACATCAGTGGACTTTCTGTTCTGCATTGGGGTTTCCAGCACCGGACTGACCCTTAGAGACCTTAAACTGCCCGGGAAACATTAAGTTTCACGTGGTTATTTGTCGGGGGCCGGACAGAGCGACGCATCTGCATTCAGAAGAGCCGCCCTCCGCCCGAGATAATCAGCACTGTGTGTCTGCAGGGCCAATATCAACAGCCGTGTTATCATCTCCCAGGAACATACCGTCAGAACATCTCTGGTCGGATGAGTACAGGTTCGGGAAAGAAACTAAAAAAATGTTGGGGCACTTTGTGACGGATGTGATGCCGCCGCCCATCTGGGCAGCATTTAAGAATAAGTGAGAGCCGGCCTTCAAAATGCAAACAGTGTATCTAATTATCACTGACCCTTTTTTTTAAGAGCTACTTTTATGATTTCAGTCCTGCTTTTATTGGTTCACCATCAGCAGTAATTATCTGTTTCGAGCACTCAACAAACTGCGTTTTCAAATCGGCCGTTATTACTCGCGCAGTCAGCGAGCAACTTTTTCCAGAGTGTAGACGGGCTGGCCTACCTTGATCAAAACCACGTCCACGGCTCTCTCCCCTTTGGCACGGAGGCTGTACCTCCGCTTGTGGCGCTCGTACATTTTTCCCCCCTTAGAATATATCCAGAGCAGATTGAGGAGAACGGCGGAAGAAAAGAAAAACTATCCTGCTGGAGCTCTGTGTCGAGGAGAGCCGAAGCCGTCTGCTGTGGAGCTTCACATCTGGCCACTGTGGCAGCCCTCCACCTCCAGCTCAACTCAACTCCACTCCCCCCTTCTCCTCTTCCCTCCCTCTTTTCTCTCTCTCTCTCCTTCCCTCTCTCTTCCTACCTCCCTCCCCCTCAGCCAAAGCAGTACATTGTTAAGTGTGACAGACAACAATGGGGCATTATTACTTATCACTTAATGCGATGGAGACATTGGATTTCACGCTGTTGAGATTCAGACCCTCCCTCCCCCCATCATGCTGGGGCTGGATTAGAAGGAGGCCAGCCCCCCGTGAGGCGCCCTCTGGGTGTGATTTGCACCTCTCTCAAATGATAGATATGGCAGTGCTTGCTTGCATGTGCCCACAACGGACTGAGGCAGAATGGGGCAGTGACTCACCAAGGCTGATGTATTCAAAGACGGACACAGCAAGGGGGGGGTTAAGGTTGCTTAAACGCGTACGTTTATCAAAATGTAATTATTAGGACTATTATTATTAGAGTCATTAGGACTAAACTGGCATATAAGATATAGTCTAAAAGGAATAATTAACCTCCAAAATGTAGCTGGGGGATGAGACTGTGGTTGAGCACCTCCTGGAGGATATTGAGCTGGTGATGACTCACCGATGTTAACAGCGTGGTGGATTCCCCACGGCAGCACAGAAGGTGTGAGTCCCGTCTCGCCCTGCACGGAGCACCAGGACACCGCGGGCCGTCGGTTTGGGACTAAACGGACAACAGCGCCGCGCGGAGAATATAAACGTTGGTTAAAAACTGACACTCGCTGGATTTAAATGATAAAGACCGGTAAACGGCACACGGGAACACGTTAAGTCTACAGCTGGGGAGCTATATTGCTGTATCTAAAGTAACTGTAAGACTGCTAAAAGTAGGCTGTAGAAAACCATGCTTTTCTGGTTTCTCCAACAAAGACAATTTGACGTAAACCGTGGCAGTATTTGTTTTTTTACACTGTTCTGAAAGGTTTCACCATTAATCTGACATGCCTGCTTATCTTATCCATCTTCGCTGGGAGATACAAAAAAAGTGAGGGTAGCAAGTAAAGGAAAGCAAGCACGAAAATCTCTCCAGTCTCCAGAATTAAGGAGCTGCTCCATATTGTGATCTGTTGACTCTTCCAGTAGGTGCTGCTATGACATCACTGGGCTGATGGAGGCCATGCTGTGAGAGCACCGGGAACTTGGATTAGGTGCTTATGAGGGATCACTAGCTACAGGTGGCGTTTCTAAAGCATACATGCTGCATTAACCGGCGCTAAATCACCTGACGTGGTCAAAAAGCTCGAAGCGCCTCTTTTAAAATAACGTCGTCATTTGCATTGTGTTATTCAGTCTGCCTTTTGCTCTGCTGTTGTCTGCAGTGGAATCCTCTCTCTCTATTTACCCTGCAGACTTAAGTGAGTGAACTGGCCACTTAGCAACTGCAGTTTGTTCAACACCAGCCAGACTCCAAACTGCCTGCTCATCACGGAAGCGAGACATTTCAACAGGAATCAAATGGCAGGTCGTTAACTTGTCTCTCTGGCCAAAGATGGGGGGGGGGAGGTGGGAGAGCACCCACCATGCCATTGAGGCTACATCGCCCTCTGCTGGCGACCCCCGCGTGCTGCACAGCGGGTGTCTATCCTCTCGCAGTCAAAACATCTGGCGCTTAAAACAAGCTCGCCGACCCAAACCGCAACCCAGGAATAAGCGGAGCCCATCCAGTCTATGGCTGCCGAGGAATCCGTCAGTCAGCAACATTTCGGAGTAAAGCCTCGTGGAGTGAACGCAGCGTCCGGGTGCTCAGCGGATGGAGGGACACCAAGTAAGCGGGACCTGGCTCCGGCAGCATGAGCCGGGGCGCTCCTTCATAGGCACTCTGACACGTGATGCATTTCTGGATGAGTGACAGCCCGAACCGAAAATCTCACAAAACAACGGGCTGCAAGTCTCCAATTATTCACTCAGTGGGGAGGAACGTTCCAGGCCGTGTCAGCACGGATCTCTGCTAGACTCTAGCTGCTGTAACCCTCCAAGAAATGGTGCGTACTTGTGGAGATGTTTTGCGGTTCTGGCTATAACTAAATAATTAGTTACCAATGGTAATTCTAAGCAAGCAGAAAAGCAATGACCTGAGCATACTGTAGAGAATGATGCATTGATTTTCGGCACATTTGTCATAAAATTCTGAAGATAAAGACTTGGAAGTTGGACATTGCGTTAAATCAATAAAGGCATGGCTTTTACAGACTGGAGAGTTATCTGTTATATACGTACGTACGCACAGGTTTTACCCCTGGTCTCGTAAAATGCTACGTAAAAAGTGTTGCCAGTTCAATGTTGTGAGCAAACTGGCAACAAAGCGCCGTTCCAAAGGTTACTTAAGGTGTTCCAAAAAGTTATGCAAACAATGACTCGTCCTGATCAAACCAACCCAGTGGCAGAGCAAAGATATCACACGACAACAATGGAGACTTACCATGGAGACGTCCGTTTCCTCTGGGGGGGCATTTTCGTCCTCCGGTACCCCAATTACTGTTCCTCCAGGCATGATGGCTTCCAGCTCTGTGGAAACGCACAAAACAACCGAATGCAGGGATCAATAGCCGGGCTTAGAGTGAACGAGTGAGCACTGAGGAGTGAACTGTGTACAATCGAGGAAGTCTTTTGGTTTTATGCATCATTAAAAATCACATTTATTTTGAAAAATATCTTTATTTATCTATTTCATGTATTTTATCAGGTGTGTAGAAGGGAATATGTGCTTGTATCTGTAAAATGTCTTGATTAATCATTCCAAATCAAGCCAAAGATCCTATTGATGGAAGTGTATATCTATCTTGGAACACAACTCGATGAATGCTCTCCTGTCTTGTGTTTTTGAGTATTGAATATTTACTCTTTTTTCGTAACTATGATGCTGCCACTGTTCTGTAAACGTATAACACCACCTTCATCATGACACCTCCAGTTCCAGTGTGACACCTCTCTCTATTGGAATCCGGCACAATTATGCCTGCTGAGAGAGAATCGCCGGCAGAGGAGTGCTGGAAGTTCACTCGGAGCGACTCTCGTCGGCCTCACTTCCTGCTTTTGTAAAAGAGAAGCCGGCCTCCTGACTGACCGAGACTTGGCTCACATGCCCCGGTTATGTGACTGTGTTTACTGACATACAGTCAGTACGAGCACGAGCTCACAGCTAACGGGGAACATATGAATATAAAAAGGGAAATGTTGTGGCCCGAGGTATCAAAGATATAAACCAGCTTCCTCGTCACGTGACATCTGGTAATTCATCCCAGTAACAGTATTGTGCTAAAGAGTTTGAAAGAACGGCTCTTCTTTAATTAAAAACTGAAACCCGCAAGTATTACCCAGCTTAATCCCCATTAGAAAGACAATTAGCGCTGAAACTGTAGAAAAGCCTCAGCAAAGCATGTGTTCACAGCAGCAATGTATCACAACAGGATGTCGGACAAAAAGCCCTAGAACGGGGCGCTACACCGCATTCTGCCATCGCCATTAATCACCAGATGAGGACTGGGTTTGATTAAGTATATTTGTTTAAGAATACGACTTTGACAAACATATTGGTCGTGTGATGAATGCGAGAGGGTGCGACTAGAACAAACCGGAACTGCGACTGAAATAAATCAGCGTTAGCTCACCTTGAGCGGCACCGGCGGGGCCTTGCGATGCTCCTTCCGCGGCGTCGGGAGTCTCCGGGTTTTCCTTCTCCTCGCTCTCAGTGCGAGGAGAAGGCGGTTCATCTTCCGAGGCGATCCGATCGTCACAGCGCGACCTCTCGTCCGCTGTCATCTCAGAATCACCCTGCTCGGGTCGTGCGCTGACACTCTCTTCAGCCGAGGCCGGCGCTGATTGGTCTCGGGTCTCTGTTGACTGGCCTTCTTCAACGTCACTATTCACAGCCCCATCTGGCGGCGCGGGTTCTGGTAAAATCCCGCTGGGGACCTCTGATGCCGAGCCCTCCGTCTCCGTGTTCAGATTAGAGTCCCACGTGTCCCCGCTCACCGGCGACAGATCTCCTTCGGGAAGTTCTGGGTTGAGTTCCTCCCTGGTCCCCTCTGGATCCTCCATTGCGTCATGGCTAGAACAGGGTTGGGATTCGGGCTCAGCACCAGTCTCTGTCACTGTGGGTGCAGTGGCGGCGGGGGGGCTTTCGCGGCTCTCCCTATGTTGTGAATCAACCGGTTCCTCGGCAGGCAACCCCGTCGAGGACAGATCTGCTGTCGCGGTTCGAGCAATTTCCTTATCTTCCGTACAATGGTGGTCCAGAGTTGGCTGAAACAAATCTGCCGCGGAACTTCCGGCCGACTGGAAACTGTCATTGTCGTCGCTGCAGAGGCTGTCGGTCGTCCCCGGAGCGTGATCACCGGAGCAGGGCGCCATTCCCAGTGATGGATCCCCCGTGGGGTTACCGGCAGTCGGGCTGTTTGCCGCGGGGCCGGGTTCCTCCATGGGCCCGGTGTTATGGATACAGCGTATGGATCCGGGTTCAGGTTTAGGTTGGGCAGCGTCTTCACCTTCTATCTCCTCAACAGTGCAGCTCCCAGTTTCTGGAGCCGAGCCCTGCGGCTGCTCTATAGCGTAATCCCCGCCAGCTGTTTCCTGGTTTTGTTCCAGGCTGTTTATGTCTGGCGGAGGTTCCCCCTCGTGGGGGCGGTCTATCAGGAGACGTGGAACAGCAGATTCAGGCTGCGCGGTTACATCACCGCAGTCCATCGGAGGTGGGTCAGGGAGGCCCCCCGGGTCTGCCACAGACTCCGTTAACCCCTCCTTCTCTGCCTCCCCCTCTTTGAAAGCGAATCCCTCACACTGCGCTTGACTAAGTCTCCCGCAAGTCCCTCCTTCGTGAGGGCACTCCTTCATTTCACAATCAGAGGTGTCAGATCCCTCTGAGCCGTCTGATGACGCCGACTGGCCCATGGCCGACGCCTTTGTGTCCCCACAGGGCTTTATTGGATCGGTTGAGTCAGAGCGAGTCGCCTCCTCCCTCCTTGTAGCCGTGCCGTCCTCCTCTGCTTCCTGCTCTGGTCCGTCCTCTCCTTCAGCAGCGTCCTGTCCTTCCCGGATCACCGCCTCTCTAGTTTCCTCTGCCCGCTTATCACCGCTTGACGGCGGTGGGATTCCGACGGTGGGGCGGGCCCCTTCCTCCCCGCTCTGCGCTCCCTCGGCCTCGTCACACGGGCTCACGCTCGGCGTGGAGACAGCGGGCTGCTCCCTTCCCTCTTGCTCCGTCTGGTAGCAATCTCTCCCAGTGTTTGTGCCGAGGAACACACAGTCCGCTGGGGGGCCGAGGCCATGCTCCCGGAGCCGCACTTCTGACCCCGGAGAGCTCACTGACAAACTCCAGTCCCTCGCCGCCTCCTCAGTCCCACCATGTCCACAATCCACGCCGGGGCGGCTTTCCACGGAGCAGTTGTCCACCCAGCTCCCCCCTCTTGTTGTATCCGAGCAGTCTGACGGCGTGGCAGGCAGCTGTGGCCGCTCCAGACGCGTTATCTCCGTTTCTGCCCCATCACAACATTCGGCAGCTGTGTGCAGAGACTCAAACTTCAGCTCCAGCGCAGAAACTCCCTGCGGAATACAGGAGGAAGAGGAGGAGGTCGATCAACGTTAGCTTCTTTTCCCCCGTGAGAGAAAACCAGCAGAGCTGCTGTGTGGTTTCTTATCAATCGCCAACTCTGTGATTGCACAAGGTGTTCCGCCGGTTATACAAACTAAGCTTGAAGGTTAGAAAAAAGAAAAACAGGGCAGTGAAAAGACAAACAATCCAGCAGTTCGGTGGTTCAGCAGAGCTCCTGGATAGAGCCAACGTGAAGATTTAAAAGGGGCAGCGTGGCGTGACCCACCTTGGCACGGAGATGGCAGATCAGGTGCAGCAGCTGCTCCACGCTCCTCCGGAGGGTTGGGGGGTCGTGACCGGGCCGGTTGCTCAGCGTCAGCGTGTGCGTGTTCAGCCCGGGGAGGTGGCAGACGAGCCGGGCGTCCGTGGACACCAGCTGGCCGGGCTCGGCCCCTTTGTCCGTCTCGGCCCTGCGCGAAATAAACACTCAGATCAGCCGAGTGGTGTCGACCTCCCCGCTTTGGGAAAGCCCACCGGTCGGTGTCACAGTAGCACGTGAGCGATCGACCTATGGAGACGGGTGCGAGTTAAAGACGTTGCAGGCTTTGAGTCCAGTCAAACCAAAAACTGTTTGTTTCCTTCCTCGTAGGGACACACACCCTGCACTACCCAACATGAGGACCACCCCTGCTCCGTGAGCTTTCCGAGAACAAAAAAACAAAACACTCCCCTTGCTGCATTAGCTCTGAGGGTTTGAAGGTGAAAGTATGTGCAGTGTGTGTGTGTGTGTGTGTTTTTCTCCATAAAGGCCATGTTGTAAAAGGGAGACACCTCCCAGTCGGGCAGATCTGTTTGCGTAATCCTGGGTGGACTGCTTGAGCTGAGGTCACCAGCCGGGCTGTCAGTGACTTCACTTCTCATGAGGAGGAAACATTCAGTGAAACACAGAAAGAAGGAGCAGGGCGCCGTGAAGCACCTGAAAGGCCCGACCACAATGAGCCGCGCCCGCTTAGTGCTTGTCGCCTTTCAGCTTGTGCCGTCTTCATTTTGAGTTAAGTGAAAACTATTTTGTGGCAGATAAGTGCTTTAAGGGGGGAAAAGGGAACCATTTCCACTTTAAGCTGCGTCTCAGTCCATTTACTAAGAAGCTGTATTTTCTTCTCCCCCTTTTCCCCCCACAGTTTAATGTGTCACTAGAAAAGGTTGAGAGGAATCTGACCTCAGAAGTCACTTTCGAAAAAAAGGCTGCACCGTGGATGGTGTGAATTAAAGTAACGTTACACAGAGCGAGATGCTGCAGAGAGCAGCTACCATCAACGCTCAGTGGTTTCTGGCACCTCGTGTTGGGTCTCAGTTTACTGCGATTCTTTTTCTTTAAGCGAAGCTTCCGTGTGATTCTCAGGAACAGATCTGTTCATTAATAAACAACTCTGTCAGTTTGTCCTCAGATGGCCGCAGCCCTTTGGACACTTTTTTTTTTCCTGTGATGCAACACATAAACATGGTTCCTCTTAAAAGGCCTGGAGGAACATCTGCCGTGTGATATATGTTGACATGAGACATCGGTTTGGGAGGCAGAGATTTAAGATCACAGCGTTGTCTATTGTTCATTCTTCGCCTCTGCTCTTATTGCTTTTCAATGCTGAAACTTGAAAGCTCTTTTGATACTTGCGCCTGCCATAAACAAATAAACAACAGCGCTTACTGGGTGAGGAGCTCGTGCAGGCGCTCGTGTCCACGCAGGGCTGCGATGTTGGAGGGGGTGTGGCCTTGTCTGTTGGCCAATCGCAGTGCTTCCCCTGCTCCTGCCTGCTGCAGTAAGAAGCGTGTCACCCGAAGGAGACCTCGACGCGCTGAAAAGTGCAGCAGAGTCTCCTGAGGATTCAGGTCTGGGGAAGAGAAGGAGGTCGGGAGATGCAGTACATGAATAGAAACGTTCGGAGGCACAGTAAATTGAACACGCAAGAACACATGTCGCTGACATGCCGTCAGTCGCTGCAGCTCGGAAACACCTCGTCCTCTAGTTAAAGCAGCACAGAGCCCACGGTGTCCCAGCAACTTTTACTCATTTACAGACTGATGAAACCACAGTTGGTCTCTTTCGTTTTCAGTTGATCGATGCACATATTTTGGTTTTAAAGCCAAAGCGCCGATTGACCTCTGATCTTTTGTGCTTCAGTAATAAAGCACATGTACGCGAGTGTGGGAGAAGCCCAATAAAAAGGACCACAGCATCCCAGCAGAGGTGAGCAACACTAAGTGCTTCCCGCTCCGATTTTTAATCAAAGTCCATTACTGGACGCAATCATCAATTGAACTCCCATTACTGCAATCAAACACCCTGTATGTCACCTCCCCAATGACAATAATGGATATGAATGGGTACACACACACACACATCTTTCTACAAATGCAACAGGAAATCAGGTTCCCTTGGGCATTAAAGAGGAGTAGTTTTTAGTTATTCCAGAGAAGCATCTCAAATTGAATCTGTGTAATTAAAACTCTGTGTTTACTAGATGATATTGAGCAACTTCTGGAGTCTTTTCAGTCAACATCTTTTACTGCCCAAATTTACTGTCATTGTGAGATAAAAGTCCTGGAGTTCAATGACCTGGAATTTTATAACATGCAACACGCAGATCAATGGTGAGAAATAAAAATAAAAACTTGGGGGCCGGACTGTTAGTGTTGTGAGGATTCAAAAGAAATCTCCACCTCGGTGCCCTGATATCTCCTATTGCAGAGTCAGTAAACTGTAAACAGAACACAGCTGCTCCATGCTCATTTATAACAGCAGAAAGATAAAACAGTATTGGGATATTTATTCGAGCTAAAGGAAAAAGTTTGACAGAGACAAGCAGTTCTATATTTAATGTTCTGGTGTGATTTATTATAGGACTTTTGGACTGCGTCTTGTGCATATTTTAACAGTACGATAAAATAAGTTGTGTACTAAGTGTCGGCTGGGATGCGCATTCACTTTGACATATTTGCTGCGATGCAGGAATTCCCCAACATGCAAGACGTTCACCATGAGCCACTAAGACCGCTTTGCTGCTCCTTGAGAGATGCTAACTGGCAGCTTCACCGGAGATGCTAAGCCCAAATGGTTTTATTATATGTCCAGGTGGTAATTATTTTACCAAAACTAAATTTGAAATAATAGTTGGTTGGAAACTATGAATTAATTTACAACTAATCAGTCAACAATTTTTGGAATTATTTATCAATTATTGGCCCCAAAATCTGAAGCGTCCCTAGCATAGCTAACCTTAAGTTATTCAATTGCATGAAACAGTGAAAAGCCAGTTGCAAGTATAAATGACATTCCCATCAGCCTCAACTAAAGCTAACTAACCTTGTTCAGTAATGGTTAGCGAATTTTAGCAAACCAGGGCTGTGGACATGGTTAATATTATATTTGCTAAATATCAACACTAGCATTGCCATTATCAGCATGCTAGCACCATGACATTAACATTTAGCCCAAAGCTGCACGGCCGTAGTCCGAATTGATAAACAATGTTGACAATCCATAATCCATAAAAAAGACAACAAACCCAATTAGAGGGACAGTTCATGACCCGGTTAGGTAACTATGGTACAGACCAAAGAGTTAACTGTTAACAAAAAGGTCAGTGGGTCATCTCAAGTCACCGCCTCATAAAATTCTGGAAAGGGACGATGCAGTCAAACGTATTTTCTTTTCCGGTGCTTTGAGCACCAGGAGCAGAGGACCATGAAGTCCCATTATACGGGAAAGAAGGAAGGCGGACATCTCTACACATATCACCAGGTCGTCTCCTTCGATGGCATTGACTGACAAACCAAAGGCGACAGATCATTTGACGCTACATGTTGCTACCAGTGAAATCAAGTGATCTTCAACGTCCGGCTGCGGGGAGATCAGTGACTGCCGCCTGTCCACAGCGCGCAGCACCACAGAGATAAACCAACATCCCCCTCCACCTGCAGTCCGCCGCGATCCATCACCTGACAGGTGGGATTAATGGAGAGCAGAGTGAGGCTCCTCTTAGCGCGACAGTTCACCGCGGCCGGGCGCCTCCTATTGAAGCGGTGACAGGTTGGGAAGCGCGGCCCATTAGAGCGCACATCACTCACCGCAGCAGGCAGCCGCCTTCCACATCAACAACAAGACAGCGGACTTCAATGCAAAGGAGCCACAGTGTGTGTGTGTGTGTGTGTGTGTGTGTCCACACATCTCTAAAAAGCTGTGAGGCTGCTCACAACAGTAACAAACAGGTCTTGCCCGATCGGCAGCCCTCCTGAAGATTTGATTTGAGGACTTTTCTTGTTTACGCCCAAAACCAACAGGAACTAATTATTTTGATTCAGGGGAGCTTCAATCTCTTACTGAGTAGTCATTATTTTTGTCAGAAATCCGGCTGGTTCTGCTGGTATCGCTCTGACCTCCAGGTCCAGGTTTAATCCACAAGCAATCGTCTTTAGAGTACTGGGAAGCAGAGGACGACTCCCAAAAGTCTAATTTATGTGGCTTCACAAATAGAAAGTACCTCGCAGTGTATCATCCGCATCAGCTCCCCACTGAAGTCGTCAGAGTCAATGGCTGGAGAAAATTGCCACTTTAATTTTAATACAGAACGTACGTTTGTTCTCACCGACACTGCGCTTTTGCAGAGATGCCCAGCTCCGTTTGATCACACTAACACCGGGGCCAGATGACCACGGAGGCCAGATGACAGTCCACGCGGAGACGTTTTTCATGTTCATGTCTGTCAGTTAATAGGAGCTGCCAGCTAAAAGCGGTGCTTCAAAAAAGATTACAAGAGAATATTTGTCACTCATTTATCAGGTGAAAAAATACCCAAATCTGCTGGTTACAGCTTTACAGACCACATGATGTGATCCGAGACGTTTGCTTTCTGGCTACGATCATAACAGTTCTTTTATAACCGGACTCACATTACATACAGGTAGCGTTCACATCACAGAGAGGTTACTACGGCAGTGCAATCACCCCATTCTGTTAGTGATTGAGGCATTGGGGAGGAGAGGGGGCGCCTCAAGAATAACAAATGCAATTTCAAAGAAGTTGTAAAAAGGGGCACTGTATCATATGGATGGACCTAAGAAGTAGAAATACATCAAGCCAACATGACCTGCAGTCTTCCAACCACGGCCCAGAGACTGCAGTCAACTCAGCAGACACTCTGCATTTAGTGAACCTATATGCTGGAAATTACGGATCAGATCCTGAGCGAGCACAGAAAGATTAACATCTGTAGAACATGTTACCTGAGTTTCGTGAGTTACAGTAGAAAGAAAATACAACTCAAATGTGTCATAAAAGCACAATTAACTACACCTACATCATATTCCTAGATCATCATCAGAGAGGGGGGGCTCGATGGAAAAAGTTTGCTACGGTTATAAAGAGCACTAAAGGCAACATTACTGCGCTTGGAAACCTTTCCCTCTAACTCATAATTACCAATCATAATGTGTGTAAAACGTTCATCTTAAATCGCCTCCTTCCGGACATTTTGTAGGTGTGGTTACATGTTGGAACATATAGCAATCAAATGTAATTTAAAAGAAAAGACTATGATCAAGGAAATGTAAAGAATAGAATTATAGTCCAGTCCAAGCAGATGGCGAGACATCTTTTCCTGGGCTGGATTGTTATCAGCTGCAAACTCAGACTTTAAAAGGGCAAAAATGTAAACGCCTCAAAATATATTTTCCACAAATCCTTAACAAATCCTCATGTGTTCATTTCAAGCAGCAACCATACAGGAACCAACATGAACCGGGCAAATCTGTGCACAAGGGCCCGCTGGTGAGACACTGCGAGCGCATCGCTTGCTGTCTAAAATGATGCATTTGTGCCGGTAAAAACGCAGAAAAGGTTTAAGGATTGAAATTGTAATTCCTTAATGGTTTTATTCGGTGAGCCTTCTCCACAATTTCACTTCCACATCTGTGGAGGTCAGACAGAAGCGCGGCCTCGGCTTCAGCGTAAAATGTGTTCAGCTCCACTTGGTTGAGACTAGTGTGTCACATAAATCAACTGCCAGATTAGTCCATCAAAAAGTAGAAGCTAAACAGGAGGCACTTCTGATAATTAGCAATGGAACACACACACACACACAAACAAAGAGGAGGTGCTGTGTGTGTCTTTATGTGCTGTAAAGCTATAATCTGCCATCATGTTTGTGCAGCGGTGCAGACACGCGGTCTGAAATGACATGTTCGAGACCCATTCGGCCTCACCAGTGCTGTTGGTCAGCTGGTTCCCCAGTAAGCTCCATCCCGGAGGCAGCGCCAGGTGGTGGAGGGCCAGCGCCAGCTTCTCGTCCAGACGCTCGCACTCCTGCGAGGGGATCCGACACTCGTCCAGCAGCAACGCCCCTTCCAGGCCGTCCACCCGGCCCGCGGTGCTCACCTGCGTGGAGGGCAATTATGGAGTCAAGATTGTTAAAGAGCTTAGTCCACTGGGAGCATTCGCTTAAAGACGCTCAGCCTAAGAGCATAAAACCACATGACCACATGCAACATGTAAATGCAGGAAGACGCAACTATCAGTGCCAAGCTCAATTTGGGGCCAACAAAAACCAACTAGATGTCAACAAAAGGGACAGTTAGATAACTTGTACTCCTCCTTGGCAAAGCAAATTCTTTATTATTCTTCTATGGGATGATAAATTGCGCTGAAAAGAAGTCATTAATCGAATGGCGAGGTCTGTGGGACATAAAGCACTGTCGGGGAAGAATAACAACTTTGCAGTCTTTTGTCTTACTGACACTTTGTCCACACAGCTGCAGCACTCGTCGCCAGCGGACACCAGTCTCTCCTCTCAACTCCGCGACAAGCCTCAGTCTGTGTGGTTATGTTACGGCTCACTTGGAAATGCTCACCAGGAACTGCGCCAGGTCAAAAGCCAAATCCTGGACAAAGCCGAATCGATGCTCGGCCAATGGAGCCACGCGACCCAGACGGGGCTTTAGGTCCTCGGGGGACTGGGGGACGCCTCGGCTGGCTGAACACAAGGTGACCCGCACCACCTCGCAACAGTCATGAGCTACAAGACAACACGGGAGGAAGGCAGAAAGTAAGGTGAGAGGGCAGGAGAAAGAGGAGGACAGGGAGGAGACAGGAGACAGAGAATTAGTGCAATATATATAGGGATAACACACTTATTTAAAATACACAAATCAATGTTTTTTTATTCTATAAGGTCAGTGGCACGTCCATATGTCTAAGCCCTAAGTGTGTTTAAAACTTGCCTTTTACAATAATTATATTGACTATGTTCTGGACGTAGGCCTCGTGTTGTATTACCATTAGCTGCTGTTCTGCTAATCCGTTTGAACTGGGAAAGTCAGACAAAGTCAACCCCAAACTCAGATCCATGATGGCTGCAGTGTAATAGCCGTCATAATATGCCGTTGGTCGGCTCCTCTCATTGAATCCCACGTACACACAGTATCGTCTGCGCTGCGATGTGCTTTTGTAATGCGCAAACTGGGGAAATGCGTTGTAATGCACTGTTAATGTTAACCACGGCTAAATTGGCTGGAGCAAACCCCATTGTGTTTAGTTGAGAATCCTGCTTTAGCACGTTGCTGCTAGCAAGGGAACTTTAGCCTCAAAGCACCACAGCCATTTCACAGACACCATTTCATCCAAGTTCATTAGGCACCAATCTCAACAATAGTACAGCGCAGATTTGCTCTGCTGGCTTCCATCATATATTCATACACTAAGTAATAGCAAGAAATATGATTATTTTTTGCCTAACGAAATGTGCTTCAATAATCAGGCTAATTCTGCAGTCACAAATCAGACTGGAACGACCAACAAGCTAATAACATGTCAGGTTATCAGCTAAATGAAAACATGCCCACACAGGGAATAAAGGCTCTGATTGATGCCTCACGTGCAGTGCTGACATCCCAGCCTCTAATTGAAAATGTACATGGAACATCTGCATCAAATCATTTATTTCCAAAATGCCAAGTCATATGCAGTTATGCAGAACTCGTTGTCAACCACCTCGATCTGTTCTCTGCATCTACCAGCTGAGACCCACATAGCCAACACAGCACCGTCCAATTTCTCATTCCGCGGTTAGACCATACACGGTATCAGAACACTTGGTCACAGGACGGTGTGTACTTATGGAGGGAGCCATGAAGCAGCGCTAATCTGTTAGTAGAGAGCAACACCTCCTCCTGCCCTCCCGAATGGCTCCAATTCACCCGAGCTCTTAATGAGATAATGCAGTTTAACGTGTGCCGCCTTCTTTTTCTTTCCTGTTGGGACACTTATCTTTATTATTTGTCCCTTAGGCATGTCTGGGGTCTTTCCCTACATTTCGCCGCCACCCACGTACATTACCAGTTTTATGTGCACGGTGACCTTTGATCCTTGATTTACGTGCCGGGCGTCATTGCTCTTCCGGCCTCACAGGAAGTTGCCACTGACTTCAGCTTTGCTAAATGCGTTCAATTTTGGAGGGGGAATAAACGGAATGTGCTGCGGGAGGAGTGATGAATGAGCCGGTCTCTAGAAATGAGTTGATTTCTCCCACTAGAACATATTGCATTAGTTTGAAAACAACGTGGATTATTTGGAGTATCTTAAGCCGCTCTAATAAAATCCTTACTACCCTACGCTTTCTGTGCGTGATGTGAGGGAACAATAGTAGCCTCCCTTTCTTAAAGATAATTTTTGTTACCAAAGATTTTACAACCCTTTACTTTCATTTTGGCTACAGCACATAATGGCTACACAGACCCATTTGGGAGATCTGACGGATTTTTACTTATCTTGATTATGATCATACATTTGATTATATTTCCATTCTCTTAGAAGGCTTTGACTGTATGTTAGAGGCCTGAAAACGCTGGATCACCCCTGATGCGACTTTCACATAACCTACAGTTCAATTTGTTGTTATTTAGTGACATCATTTAAAGGGTATCTGCGACAAGGTCCTATGCTATCAATTTACACAATAGATTTAACAATCATGTATCAAGATACTGTAGGTGGAGCTGCCTCCCCCCACGGGTCCATTAGAGGATACAGGGACGTGGCGGCTTACCGGGACACAGCGCCTGCAAGGTGTCATGACTGCTCCTCAGGGTGCTGGTCAGGTGCCTCTGTGTGTTGCCAACAAATAGCAGGAAGTAGTCAACGCTCTCCTCGTCCGCAGCCAGCTCTCCATCTGCGAGCTGCACCGTGATCACACACCGGCCCTGCAGGGAGAAAGAAAGAAAAACAAAAGAGTAAATCTGCCTGAATTACATAATAAATAAGGAGTTTTAGTTCACATGTTCATTAATTGATTTCCCATTAGCACATTTTTGCTTTTTTTCTGCTGGAGAATTGAACATGTGTGTGATAGAATGCATGCAAGACGCTGATTTGAACCGCGAACCTTTGCCACGCGGTTAAAGGTCGCAGGTGTGGATGCCAAAACTGAACAGGGCCGTGGTGTAAAAACTCTGCGTGACGGCCAGCTTTCTAAGCAGCCTACACAATTGCCTCGAAAAGTTAATATGGTAATAATTTATTGATCTACTGCCCTGCTCAGCACATCATTAACGAAACAGGAAGGCGACAGGCACCACTGGAACGCGGAGGAGCAGCTTGACGTTCCGCCGACTCACCTAGCGAGCGCCGGTTCTGACTATGCAGGAGGAGGAGACCGCTTTACAAATGGCGGAGGCCACATGATCAACAGCTTCTGTATTCACGCTGTTTATTAACTCGCGCAGCTATCTTACCCTTGTGCACCTTTGGCACATAAAACAAGGTCAGCGCTCTTTTCCAGGGAAAAAACAAAAGAGAAAAAAAGAAGACACGTTCACTTTCCACAGCCGTGTGCTGCAGCGTGGTGCAAAAGGCCCAAACCAGAGACCTGCATGCGGCTCGGGGAGGAGCCACATAGATAATGGATGAGATTCTTTTGGGTTTTAGGAAAGACACAAAATAAAAGTGGAAGAAAAGGCACAAAATGGATTTAGAGCCTGCTTTAGATGGATTAAGTGAGCTGCAGTCATGTGATGTCCGAAATTGTATGAAGCAGTTGTATCTCATGAAACAAAAGAACAAGGCGTGTGTCTGTGTGTGTGTGTCTCTCTCTCTCTCTTGCTTTGTCTATCAGACACACACATGCCTCCGAAACCACTGGATTAAGAAGTGTTTTTTGTCTTTTTTTATACCAGCATCCAGTTGGATCCAGTTTGTTGGACGAGAGGAAAATAAATAAAAATAAATCAGTAGTTGCCTGGAAGACCGAGAGAAAGAGTGGTAAATGTGTCACCTTAACCTGAACCTGAGGTGTCAGGGGGGTGGGGTCATCTCAGCTGTATTGTGTCTACTATATAATATTGTGCGTGCAGCGCAGTCAGCCACAACAGGCCACTTGTCCAAAGTGACAGTTGGTCTGTTGTGGCTGGATCGTTGTGGGCCGATGTCATCTGAGGACTGACTGAGGAGGAGGAGGACGGCGATGACTATGAGGAGGAGAAGCAGCAAAGAAATAGGGATATTGTTCCAAAACTCAGCTGTTTTCTTTCCGCTGGGGGACTGCAGCTTGGTGACAGTGTGGGAGGAAGAGGGGGGGGTTACAATGGGACGGTTCATCCGACTTAACCAGAGCAGTTTTGTCTGCAAAACAGCAGTATTTTCACCGGGCTCCTTCCGTCTCTAGTGAAGAGGTGGCCTCGGGCCTCGTAGCCAGCAGTTTGGAATTGGCAAAGATGGGTTTGGTAAGCCATTGCTGCTGCTGGGCTATAAGAGAGAGGGTGAGCAGCCACGTAGCACAGGGGCACCAGGAAGAGAAGCAGCCTGCAGGGACCTTTGAGGAGCGGGGACTAAATACATGGACTTTCAACAGTAGGGATGCGGAGTGTAGGGGCTGCCTGGAATAAATGAGTTGCAGATGCAGAAGCCGGCAGGCATGACACTCTCTCCATTAAAATCTCATTCGCTATCCCCGGCACGGATCTGAAATCGGGGAGCGGAGCGGCAGCTTGTTGGATTTTGCACCTCTGCGCTCCACAGGCTCATGAAAATGTTTACGTTTCAGAAGTCCCCCTTCAGTCCACGTAGTTTAGTGCGATAGCCAGTACATCGACGTTTGAGAGCGACTCATCCGGTCTAAACTAGTCCGCCAGCTGCTGATTCATACACACTCCTCTCACTCTGGGCCTGCCTGTGGTTGATCTGCCAAATTCAACCTGCAAGTCAGAACGGAGATTTGAAACATCTGCCCTAGGCTGCAGGAAGCACAGCTGCACACAGCGAAACAAAAAACACACTCACAGACACACGAGCGGAAATTAAAACTACCGTCTCATAATAACATCATTAGAATGCAAAAACAATTATCTTCCGTGTCGTGCTTTTAATCAGCAAAGGAAGCCGCCACCTTCGGAGCCGTGTGACTGTGCGCTCCGCTGGAAAGAAGCACTTAACAGAGTGACCTGCTGGGCTATTGACCTGCTAATCGAAGCCGCTTCAGCTGGGGAACAGGCCACTATTAAGCAACATCAAAAGAACAGCTGGAGGCCCCGAGCCTCCCCCCCGAATCCCCTCCACCCAACTGCCAACTATTCTCAAAGATGTGAGTCTGCAACTGGCATGAGCTTTCCAGGTAAAAAGCAGCGCTGGAATTTGAAGTGCTCACCGAAGCTGCTTTAATGGTTAATTTAAAAAAAACAAGTTTTTATGCAATCTCAATTAATGTTTATCCCCCTGCCCAGCTGTGTGACTGACGTGGTGTTGCTCCACTTCAGCACTTAATGTTGAAGACGTCCCTTTGAGGTTTTCCTCTTATCGTTAATCACTAGACCTACCTTTGGAGGTTTTAGTCGGTGGAGCGTTTAAATCAACATTTTGCATTTGATGTTCTGTAAAAAAACAAGTCTCAGCAGCTTTTCTGTGCGGTTTACCAAGAGACGTTGCTGCTGCTGGACAATTTTAGATAATTAATGGGAAACTTATAAGTCCTGCGAGACCTGCACGTACCATATCAGGTCCACTTCACACGTGACAATAACTCCAGAGCGTTTAATGATCAAGCCACGCCCACATCCTCAGATTCACACTGCAGCTCAAGACCACCGGGTAGCAGGGAGGACGCAGGTACCACCATCACAGCGCTGCGTTGCGTTCAAGGACCCTACCTGCTCAATTGTAAAAGCCGCTGTGGAAATACTGCCCGCGAGTCATCCTCGGCTGCCTCACTTCATCATGAAAAGCGTTGGTAATGTTGCAAGAGACTAGAAAGCTCGAGAGGTACGGAGCGGGCCGTCGTTTTCCGTCGCTGCAGGGGGGTGTTTTTGAAGAGCGACAATTACAGAGCGACTACTTAACTCTTAGGAACTATCTCACTGGGAACGACTGTGATAAGTGTGGAAGACCCGAGGTCTAATGGGGCCCAACTGCACGCCTGGTTCCACCCAACGGTCTGGGTGTAAATCACAGATAAGGTTGTCTGTGTGGTTAATGTGTGTGTGTGTGGGTGTGTGAGAGTCACTCTGGCGCACACACACACACACACAGACACGATTTTCTGTGATTTGAAGACCAGCCCCTGCTCGGAAATTTCATCTCCACCAGTAGGCTTAGGGCAATGTCCAGTACCAGTCAAATGTTTGGACGCATTTTCTCATTCAATTCGATGGGAAAGTGTGTCCGTTGACTAGTACTGTAACTTTTTATCTATTTTTTATTGCATATTGATGTCGTAGATTTCAGCAAACGCTGTGGGACATTTAAGCAGGGAAGATAAACTTAACAGAGGAAGAAAATCTTTGCCCTGCTGTTGCCCGGCTCACGGCTGTTTTTACATTTTAGAGAATGTAATTATTCATTTCACTCATTAATGATGCATTATTTCACACAGCCGCAACCTATTCGCCATTAATCAGGGGCTTCATTTTCCACGGCCCCCAACCCGCTCGACCTGTAGGTTGACCGCAGCACCCGAGGACGTGACTGAGATCAGTGGGTCTCCGATGCACAAGTTACTAATAATCATAAGAAAAATGACTGTTGCGCCCTTCATGTTGGAATGTCCTGCAAATGTAATGACGTTAGCACCAACAAGAGCGAAAATGTAATAAAAAACAAATAATGTCCTGCCTGGTGAAAACATTTTACCGACAATGTGATATTTTATAAATTATGTCATTATTTTTGATGAATAACATTACCAATGTGTTCTATTATTTCTCTCTGAAGTTTGCAAGTACAATTTTTAAGCCATTATTTAGCCATTTGGAAACATTTGACAATGACTTTTAAAAACAAACGGCAAGTTGTTCGTTGTTCAGACAAAATCCTAATCAATGGGAATTGAGCTTATCAATACCCATTTCTATTACGTAGCCATTGGATCCTACGTGTATGTAGAAGAGCTTGACAGCCCCCCTCACAAGATGTCACGGGGGGTGATTAAATGAATCTGCATGCGAGCATCGCCTGGTGTGCAAACTCCACTGCTCCAAAGCTGCAGAAGGTGGCAGACACTGAAACGTGATTGAATAGCCATTAAATGTCCTTTTCCATCCAGTGAAAAACGCAGGGATTCTTATTCAATTATTTGTATGATCTTATGGAATGTGAAAGAAAGGAGTTCCTAAGTAGGCAGTAAGCATTTACATAACAATTAACCTCATTCTTTAACAAAAGCTTCAGCACCTGAGATAGCACATTTTATGACATTATCAACTTATTACAATAACACTTTGGCTCACGTTAAGAGCAAATTTGATTGCATTTTTTAAGTTGTAATTGCCCGAGGCCTAGCTTTATTCCTGGAAGACCTGTTCTGTCCTCCTGAGCAGGAAATCAGGCATCTTGGGGCTTTATTTTAGTGGGCGGAGAGCAGAAAGCTGCACCGGGTGATAACCAGGAAGGGGAACCCTCCCCTGTAGTAACAAGGCCGCTGAGACAAGCTTGCATCCCACATGCAGGTATAAGTGCTCACAACATGGACGGACCGACACACGTAGATAGTAAACCAAAAACAACTTCTACATGACCGGATACTTCTTTGTCGGACACGCCATAGAACCTGGTCCCTCACAGAAGAAGCTTTTACACACACACACACACACACACAAGCACTCATAAAGCAATCAAAAGGTCATGCATCCCCTTTGGTGCCCTGCTCTGTGCTGTAATTACCTGCTGACCCATTGATTTGGACAAATGGCACATGTTTGGTTAAACTAGGCCTCAATTTGTCCTTTTTAGAGTAATAATTGCAGAGGACCATTACCAATTCATAGATCAAAACTGTAAGAATCTCTGTTTAATCCAAAATTTGAGACGGCAAATAACGGCAATACAGTTGTTCTTTATTTTTAGGTTGGTAGGTAAGATGATCAGATGAATGGGTGCAGCAACACACTTATAGAACGAGAACCACCATACTGACAAAAAGTCAGTTTTCAGTTTCTTCCCAATATATTTTCTTGTTTTATTTTGTAATCTCTGTTCCCATTTCGTTTAACTGATAACATTTGAAAGACAATGACACATGACACTGTACAGGATAAAAAACTGTTAAGAAAGTTTGCCAATTATTAAAATATTAAACACCCAGTTGATATGCGCGCAGTCGGACATTGTGTTCTCGGTTAGCCGTGCACACGCACACACATACAATGACATTGTCATTCCAGCTAATTACACCTGTTCTAACACATCACTAATAAGGAAGAAACCAGACAGGTGCAACAAAGAAACTTTGAGGAAAACGCCTACAGGTAGAAACAGCTGTGTGGGTGGACCGACAAATTAAGGCCCGCCGGAGAAATAGCTTCTATGACACTTCAAGTTTAAATGCTTTCAAATAAGCCATGGGGTGAAACATTAAAACATTAAAGCAATTAGAACTGACCTATTGACTATTTAAAAAGCGAGTAATAACAGGGATCTCCTCCTTTGCACTGAAGCTAAACAGCTAACGGAGGTTCACCATGTAATCCTATAAAAGCTTCAAACATTTTGGTGGGATGGCAATATGCAATACAAGAGGGAATTGCACCATGTTAAACAACTAAAGTAAATGTCATATATTTATTCTTCTAAACTTTGGAATACAATTCATTTAATGCAACCATTGTAGATGAAAATAACATAACAGCAAAAAAGAAATCTGAAATTCGGTTAAAAGAAATAAAGAAAAGGTCCATCTGGAGGGATAGAAAATGCAATGGGTGCCTCTAATGAAGAGAGGTACTTACATAGAGTGGAGCTTGCTGTGGGTTGAGTTTCATGTCCCTGGACACTGCGAAGACAAGAAGACATCAGGAGGTTAGAACTTTGCTCCAAGTCAATATGCTGATGTGACATGTTGGGGTTCACCGATACAAAACCTAATAAAGCAGATGCACATCTCTTTTCCTCTTTTTTTTCTCGTTTCTATCTCTTTTTTTAGGGGGCGGGTGCTCCCCATCCTAAAAAGGACACACACTGGGAAAGGAAACACGCACACACACATCATCCAACCAAATCTGCCAAAGCTCCATTTGTGCTTGTTTATTCAGACAGGCTGCGGCAACAAGGACACACTGTTTGTGCGCTCTGCCGCTTGTGATCGTTCTTCAGCAGGTTTGAGGATGACACTTACACCGCTTTGCCTCGTCTACATGGGATCATTACAGAGGGACCAGCTAGCGGGATATCTGTTTTTGAGGCGCCAAAGGTCAAAGGCAATTACATCCCGAAACAAGCCACATATCACAGCTATTGACGAGAACAAAACGGTTGAGAAACCTTCTTCTTGTTCAGGCCCCGGTTTCTAGAAGAAAAATCGGGGCCTGCTCACATTCATCAACGGGTCGGGGGGGGGGGGGGACCGGTCCGGGACAATTTGCGTTTGTCCACCGATCCCTGGCACTAAAACAAGTCCTCAGTGGTGAAGCGGCAGTCCATTTATCCACATGAACGGCGTGGGTGAGGGGTGGGGGGGGGGGGGCTGACAAAAAGGCCAGGACCTAATGAGTTCAGCAGAAAAAAGAAAACAGAGCGAGAGGAACTGCGCTGAGGCGAGGCCAGTCCACTCACTACTCCCCCCTCCCCCCCCGATCCAAATCGCTTTTCTTTCTTTGCTTTCTGCTAAATAAACAGGCTCGGGTTGGAATTAGGCGCATCAGGTAAGGGGATAATGAGCGGCTCTAATAATACTCTGGAGTCTAATCCTCTTGCCTTAAGTGCAATGGGCCAGGGACTAGCTTACTCACCACACGCATGACTTTGACCAATAAGACTCCACCATTGTGTCCCCATCCGGCTCACCGGCTCGCTCACATTTGCATATTTTCGGACACGTATCGGGGCTCGGTTTTTCCCCGGTCTTTACTCCTGGGCTTTAGTCAAAAAGGCGCTTTGAATCCTGACATTTTCATTTTACGTGACATCTTACTGACCGCCGGGTGGCCTAACCCCTTACTGCTCAAGAGGAACATATTCTCTAGTCAGTAGGTGTGCCGCTGAGGACAGGGATGATAGCTTCTATCGACCCCCCATCCCGTGACTGCGTTCAGCTCAGTCTGACACTTCTTTACAGCGGTCGTTTTGTTCATGTTTACATTTCAGCTTCCTCTATCACAGAATAAAACAAAACACAAAAACTACTTTCCAAGTTTCCTGCTACTGTTATTTTTGCTATATTTAGTTAACTTATTTAATATCTCCGCGTGTATTTTTTAGGTTTTTGGGCTTTTTGTGCGGCACAGCTAGCGATCGTCTGCACTTGATGTTTAACTGTCCACCAACTTTGACACAATAAATCAAAATCAGGCTACAAGCTTCTCTCCTACAACGGCGACCAATACTACTATCACTACTAATACTACTACTACTACTTCTGCTATCACTACTAATATTACTTCTACCACTGCCAGTACCACAATTACTTTTACAGTAGAATTGTTTTTCTTCCAGCTTATTCTGCTTTGTAATTCAGATTATCAAGTTTAGCTTCCAACTCAGTCACTTCTACGTTTCAACTAGGCAGGTTTTCAGTAGTGCCGTTTTAATGCTATTGGGTTTCAACATTTTTCATCTGGTTGTTTCCCATTTCCGTCTTTTCAGCATTTCAGTTTCATTTCAGCTTTTGGCATTCTAGTGCATTTTTTGCAGGAAATGCATTTTCTAGTTTCCTTCTGAAAGTGTCACTTTCAGTGATGAACAGAAGGAAACTCATCACACGATGAGGAGCCACTTGATACGCTGATGACATCAGGAATATCCCTCAGTGCAGGTTTGATATCAGTTCCCCCGGCTGCATGGAATCGGTTTCTGTCATTGCCTCCACTATGGTACAGTAAGGTGGGTGTAATCCAGCCAAACACTTCCTCTTTCACAGCCGCAGTCTTTAAGACAAAGACACACTGGGGGATTTCTAAATTAAAGGACATTTTGGACAGCAAATCCTGAAAAGTACAGAATCACAGATTTTTGTATCATTAAAAAGGTGCAGTATTTTCCCACAGGGACACGCGTTCCAGGCATGTACTGTAAGAAGGTGCTCAGGTGCTGCGTGTGGATAATACCTGGCCGAGGGGAAGTTAATGCAAGGTAGATTGGTAACTTTTCTACCCGTTTTTAAAAACAACAAAATCAAAGTTTAACTAAACTAAAACAGACGCTTTTATAATCCTCAGTCAATAATTTGGTCAAAGTCCGCTCAAAATCACAACACCAAAAATGTATCTTTCTTATCTGCAATCTTTACTGTTTAATGAAAAGGAAAAGCGTACACATAAACCTGCTTGATGGCCATGTAATTCAGCAAAAAGAACACGCAGAAACAAACAAACTGTTTTTTCTTCTCTGGTAACAGAAGAACCTTGAGAAATGACATCCCCCTAAACTCACCCTACAGCCACCCGACACCTGCTCATAGAGATTACACAACCCATTAACTCCACCTAAAACACCCCGGGGGCCGCCAGCTCTCAGCCCAGCTCCCTAACAGTCTCCATTATGGCCCAAATTGCCTTTGAACTGCTGTTAAAATCAAATTTCCTTCTTTTACGGAAGGAAGGCCACGAGACCGGCATCCGCGTTCGAGTGTGCGGGCGTCAGGAGTGAACCGATACATTAAGAGACCAAACACCCCCCGCCCCCCCCCCATCGGGATGGGAGCGCCGACGCTCCGAGTTGGGCTTGAGAATGTCCCTCGTTATGGCTTCCACGGGTGGCCCGGTTATCAAAATAAGCCTTAATAGCCATGTGACTGCAGCGTGATTAAAGGGGGGGGGGATTACCTTGACAACTCATTAATCGGACTACGCCCTCCCCAATCAACAGCTGACGATCCCCAGAACCCCCGACACAATGCACGGGGCAGACCACCAAGGGCCGGACAGTCTGCACATGTGCTGCATGTCAGTGACAAGGAGGTCGCCCTCTCTCTGAGGAAGCCTGTTGAATAATCCTCCCTGGATGGAAGGTGCATCCGGTGTGGAAATCAAACTAAAGTTGGAAGGCTGAAAATCACTTGCTGTCCTTTATAAAAAAAAGCAGATTAAAATTGTGTAGCTCAGACACAGCGTTGTTTGCATTCCTAACCTTGCAGTCATCCGCGTTCCTGTGTTTGCTGGCAGATTGCTGCATATATTTGCTTCTTATTGCCAAATGTGGATCAGTGGGAAAATGTCAAACCATTGGTGGAAATATGTGTAGCATCAAAAGCAAAACAAACAGGGACCTACTCAAATATAAATGTCAAGACGATACGTCAATACCTCGCCAGCCTTTAGGATGGTGATTTTCCCCTTTGAAAATTGTAATTACATCAAAGTTTATAGTCCTCAAGTGAAATAAAGCATTAACACACACACACGCACACACTTGCTTGGAATCGAAAAAATTCCACCTTTTGGCAATGATCAGATCATGTTTGCTCCCAATCCCCTTCGTCATTGTCCTGCAAAGACATGTAATCTTCTTGTACTTTTTCTAAATCCTTCAGATCAAAGAGAATCTACAAGAGATGGGATGCCATTAAAACACGCCAGCGAGCACATTCATTGATGGTAAGAACGGTAAACAGTGGGGAGGTCAGAGGTGACCGGGGGCCCGTGACGCCATCAACATAATCTTTTTCTTGTCAGCGCGGCTCCCTCAGAGTCATAGCGCCTCTATGAGCCCCTTGTCCAAAAGGACACGTCTCTTTGATCCAGTAAAACAAACGCACGTGCTAAGTGCAGGTCAGGGTTCCTCCGTTGCCAGGAGACCACTTAGTGTTAGAAAACACATAATTCAAAAAGGTGCGAACTTTTTAACACCATCCACATGCCCATGTGCAGCGTAGCGTTGTCCTTTAAGTCATTTGGGGATGATTATCACACCTGTGGCTTATGGAGGATAAATCTAATGAAGAAAATGGGAACGGAAGTTCAGGCCATGTTGAATGATGCATTTATTGTATTTGTTGCACTTGCTTGAAATGTAAATTCAGAGAAGAGACAAACTGGCATTGAGCCATGTCCATAAAGTGAATTTATAAAACACACTACTCAATTTAAATCTTGACATTTGGCAAAAAAAACAACAGAAAGACCAGGAAGTGGAAGCGAGTAGCTCATAATCCCGAGCAACTACTTGAAATAAAAACAGGTCACGTTGATCAGTTTGAACTCATAACAAGGATGAATTTGCATCACTGTTTTACCGCCTCAGAGCGCCAACCTGTAGTCTTTTGGGTTTAAAAACCTCCCATTGGCCATAATTAACTTGGAGAATGCCAATGCAGATTAGGAATGCTAATGAATTAATTTTTCCTCTTTCTGACGGACAGCGGACCCTCATTAGCTGATCATTGACTGCTATCCGAGCCAGGTTCAGGGGTCCGAGGAGCCACTTGGGCAGCGTGCACTGAATGTAAGGTACAGTAAGCAGCTTTGGATAGAAAAGCCTCTGCTAAATGGCCGGGGTGAGCTTCCAAGCCGATTTAAGCCTGGGGAGAGTTCAGGGTTAACTCCTCTTAACTTCCCCTTATTCCCGTACTATCAACCTTTCAGTTGATCTGGTCTGGTCTCCTGTATTAGATCTGGAAGGGCTGGTGATGGATATCAAATCGAGTTCCAGAACTTTTTGTCTGCTGACAGACTGGCTTGTTTTCCCTCTGTCAGGATAAAAGCCTCATTGTAAACATAAGCCAGCGTCTGACTCACAGCACGAGACGCTTGACGACCAAACCACTGAAGTGACAAATTCCCGGTAACATTTTTGCCGATCGCTAGCAGTTTGGAATCAAATGTGGCACGCTGAGCGAGG